TATTCAAAACACCTCTCATACATTATCTGAGTCTGGATAAATGCTCAAACAGCAACTGCTGTCATTACCATCTTACAACCATCTGTGTCCATCCTTTGGGGTTTGCTAGTACTCAGGTACAAGACTGGTCTCATCGTGGGGGCGCTCTCCGTGGAGCAACCCCCAGCTGGAGCATGGCTTTGGGAAGCCATGTGTGACAAGACTCCTTTCCAGTTTCTTAGCTGAATAGCTGGTGTGCCTGGTGAGCCACATGTGGGAGGCAGCAGTCCCACACACGCTTTGAATTCTCATCTCATCTTTGCCCCCCTGATCAGCTCCTCTTGATGTCTGTTAGTTACAGATAGACTGTCTGATTGTCTCATGCTTATGTCCTTGCCAAAGTTATGCAAGTCGGAGAGACACTATCCGGTTTCCATGGGTCAAGGGTAGACTGAAGTCTCCTATTAGAGGTAGAGCAGAAATAGCTACGTTTAGGGGTCAGAAGCTCTGGTTTCCTGGCTGTGGCCAGGCATAAATAGCAGTGGGACATTCAGCAAGTTGTCTTGCGTTTTGGGTCATCTTTTGAAAAATGAAGGCCTTGAGCTGCGTGATCTTTAAACTTCCTTCTACCCTGACCCTATGTTGCAACCACTGCAAAAGTCCAGATGCTCTTGGTCTTTCCTGAGCCCAAATATGGACTGGGGGGGAAGTCTAGTAGCAGCTGGGATTGTGGCCACTCCCTTCTCCTGGCAGCCTTGACAATGGTGGACCTCTCTACTCTGCTCCCCTTTCCCCTTGTTGATGACACTGTGGAACACCCACACATGTAAGGCTTTCACAGTCACAGCTGACCCCAGGCCAGAGTCTAATGAAGGTTACTAAGCTAATTCATTTTTTCCAGAGAGCTATTTCCATGAAAGTTGTTAGTATCCATGAGTCATGAAGATGTTCGTAGTTGTCCTGTGTTGCACCTTGTAGCTAAACCCCAGTTTCCCCAATGTTTACCACATCAATACTCTTCTAAGCAGAGCCTCAGCCCTTCAGTTTGCTAACTGGGTTTTCTGCTAGGAGAACCACCACCTGATTTGTGTACACCAGGAGTAATATATTAATACTAGGGCTTGGGTCCTTTCTTAGAGTTTGAAGGTAAAACTTGTTGGCATTGGTTGTGCCCAAGATTTCTGGGTGTCCTCCTTCATATATCAGTGAGAACCGGTTAACCAGCCCCTGTTGGGATTGCTGAGTCAGCTTCTGATTTTGAGGTCATGTGTCCCATTAGGACACTGGGAAGCAATTTCGGAGCTAAGTCCTCCCCAGTTAGATGTGTGTGTAAACTCATGGATGCCTCCTGTATTACCATGACCTGGCCTGGTCCCTGACACCCTCTCCCTTGATGGGTCTTCCTGGGAAAACATTGACAAATCATTCTCTCTTCTCTATAATCCCGTAGCACTTTAATACCTCTGTTACTGTCACAGTCTATCTTATATTGAACATGTCTGCTTTCCTGATTGAATTGGAAACCCTAATTTTGGGGTGGGCCCCTCCCCTCCAGACATTAGTTTGCAGGAGGTTCCTCAACAATGCTGAATGGACTACATCCAAGGGTACGATAGAATGCTCCCTCCCCTTGTGTGTGCACCTGCCTGGTCTTTCCTTGTGAATGTGGTTTTAGAAAATGTTTGATGAAATGCCTTACAAAGAGGCCATGAGCTCTGAGATTTCTTAGGAATCTCCAAAGGGTTGGCTTTTCAGGCTTATTAGTAGTAAAATGGGCTGGGAGCAGCCAGAAAGAAGTTGAGGGAGATTCGACCAGTCAATGCTATTGCTGTAGTCACTTCTGTGGGGTTTGCAGAATAGCTCAGCTGTAGAGAGAGGGAGGTGTGTTATCATTTAGGTTTAGTTTGGCTGAATGTAATGGAAAACTGGCTTAAATGTGCACCTTTATTTTTTCAGTCATTTAAAAACTCAGGAGATAGATAATCCAGGCCAGGGACCTAACTTACTTTTCTTCTATCCTTAGGAGGTTGCCTCCTGACCCCAAATGGCTTTTGAAGCACAGCCATTGTGTTACTATCACAATGGAAAGACAAAGGAGCCCTCTTGGAAGGCTCACTCAATGTCCATTTGTATCTCACTAGCTAGGAGTTAGAAGGGCACTAGCTTTCTTCACAGATGGGCAGTTAGGTTCTTTAACTGGCACATTGCCTCACCCTGAGACATACAGGTTCTCTTCCCAGGAAAGATGAAGAGAACAGACAGTGGTGCTGAAGAGCCACCCAACACTTACTTGAATGAGTGAGTAGGTGGGCAAGCGATGGAGAGATGCCATCGTTTTGGTGGGTGAAAGTTTGACGGATGCCTCATATTAGATCGTTGATAAGACAAGGCAGGCACGTTTCTGATAATACCATACAGGAGTGTAGGAACCTCGTGGAAAATCCAGAAACTCCACTGACCTGACAGCATATTCTTCTAAAGGCCCTTCCGATGGGCCTCCGTTTTCCCGTCTTTGTAGAGATCGGGCCCCTTTATTTAAACTCATCAGATGCAAGAGAGCAGGCGGGGTGGGGGTGCCGGGTCTGTGGTACAGTGGCCACATTTCACCTCTTTCTTTCATTTGTTTGAAGGAAAAAAAAGCTTCCTAATTCAGGTTGGGGGAGACCTGGGGCAAGAGAGATTACCCTTAAATGTTGCTGAATTGAAATACTAAAATTTCCTAAAAAACACAAATATACATCCCACCTTGGAAAATGTTAGAATCCCCTGGGATTAATTATCATCTGCTGGTGTCAATTCGAGGCCCGTAGGTGGTCTGTGGGGCAGGTGGCGGGAGCTTTGAAGCAACATGCCCGTGCCGTCCTACTTGCCCTGGAGTGCAGCTAGGCAGACTGAGGGCCCCACCTGGGCTGTCCTCTCACGGGACAACCCCAGCCTGGCCTGCAGGTCCGGAGGCTGGAGCAGCATGTCTTGTGCTGAGAGGGGGCTGTGCGTCTGTGTGCTCTTGTTCCCTCGAGGTGGGCTGGTCAGTTCTGTAGGGCTGGGCCCCTTGTCCCCACCGTGTTGCAGAGGCACACTTGCATGGCCGTGTGGCCCAGGGCCACACAGCAGTCCACTGCAGGTGGGCAGGCTGCCTGGTTGAAGTGTTAGTCTGGTGTCCATTCAGGCTCCACTCTCGATTCCTTTTTGAAGACTTTTTTTTTTTTTAATAGCAATATACATATTTTTATCTTTTAAATTTTATTTTATTTTGTTTTTATTTTAATTCCAGTGTGGTGTTAGTTTCAGGTGTATGATATAAAGATTCAGTTATGCCCTGCATTACTCAGTGCTTGTCCTCTACCTTTTGAAACTTTGATTCTCATCTTTGTCAGGGTTTCCTGGAGACACTGTGGTTCACAAGACTACTTCTTCCTGGCCCCCCACCGACCCTGCATTTCTCAGGTCATCTTGTCTTTCAGTCCTCCATTCCAGATCATCCTCTTTTCAAAGAAGTAGCCCTGAATTCCCTCTCCTGGAAGTGATTTGTCCTGCATACCCTCCTCCTGTCCGTTATCACCCTCCCTCCTGTGGTGCTCTGGGGCATACAGCTCTGTGGGACAGATTCTGGGTGTCCTCTCCATGCCTGTGTCTATGCCCTGACCAGATCGTCCTCCCGGAGGGTTGGACACAGCCTGTGTCCACTGTTCCCTGCAGGGTAGAGAGTGGCACCCATGCTGTCCCTTGCCTTGGGGGCTAGTGTGTTCCGAGTCTGTTTTGTTCCCCTTAACCCTCCTTGTCTTGTGGTTCTCCAAGACTTCCTCTAAGTCACATGAGACTCTGGGGATGGATGGGGCTCCTGTTGTTCCCCTGGCTCCTGAGTCTCAGGGGCTTCCCCATGGATGTCCCCGGGGCTTGTATAACTGATCAGGTTAACCGAGGGTGGGTGGGTCGGACACCGCAGGCCAGTATTTGGTAGTTGCTTGCTTGTGCTCTGCTGGGAAGTTCAGAGTGGGGGCTGGAGGGTTGTCTTGCTGATCCCTGATGTGATCTCATGGGCCGCTCTTGGGGGGAGATGTTTTACTGTCTAAAAGCTGTAGACTGGGAGCCAACCATGTAATTTCAAATTTTCTGGTAGTTACAGTAAAAAAAAAAAAAAGGTCAAAACACATAGTTGAAATTAATTTTAATAAGATACTCTGTTTAACCAAGTACATCCAAAATCCTATCATTTCCACATGTGATCATTACAAAAATTGATATTATTGACAGTTCTCTTTTTTTGGTACTAAGTCTTTAAAATTTGGGGTGCTTCACACTCCATGCGGATCAAGGATTTCAAATGCTTGCTAGCCACATGTGACTGGTGGAGGTCCAATGTATGGTCTGCTACAATTCACGCGCCTTCTCCCACTTGACGTTCCTGGAAAGCAGGGGCTGTGCTGTGACCGTTCAGTCCTTCCTGATCGCCGTCAGTGAGTGTGAATTGTGTGAGGGCCTGGCTGGCAGAGTGACAGCACATAGTGGGACTTTGCAGTGCCTGGTGTCCGGTCGCAGCTCGGCTTCTTGCCCTCTCTGTGTGGCCTGGCCGGGTCTCTCGGAGTCACCTGTAGAATGAAGCTGTTGGATTTGTGATCTCCAGGGGCCCTTCTGGTTCTGACCTGATTGCACTGGGCCATGGATCCGGGCAGGGATGGCACTGGGGACCACCGTATCTGTCCACCTTGGCCTCACCAGCTTTCACCTCTGTGAAAGGCTACGGGTGGCCATACCTGTGGTTTGCCATCTTCAACTCTGACCAAGAGCTGGTATGTTTATCTGGTCTCTTGGGTCCTGTGACTCCTCTGCTTCCCTCCCTGGCACCTGTCTCCTTGTCTGGCATTTACGAGACCCTCTGGCTACCGGGGCTGTTCCCACTTGGAAAGGCACAGATAGACGGGGGAGGTCCCAGCCCTCAGGAAGCTCATCTCTTGGAAGGTGTGGTGGGCCAGAGGAGGCCTTTGCCATTTCCTGAGGCCTCATGAGGGTTCTTTCTTGTGCAGGCTCAGCTGGAGGCTCAGAAAGCCACACAGGACTTCCAGAGGGCCACCGAGGTGCTCCGTGCCGCTAAGGAAACCATCTCCCTGGCTGAACAGCGGCTGCTGGAGGATGACAAGCGGCAGTTCGACTCAGCCTGGCAGGAGATGCTGAATCACGCCACCCAGAGGGTATGAGTCACTGCCGGGCGCCTGCAGGAGGGTGTGGGGAGGGTTGCCTGGTTCGCCAGCATGAGTCCGTGTCTGCACGCGTGTGGGCATCAGGGGCCTTCCCCTCATGGGAGCATCCTTAATACTTCCCCTCATCCATGTGATCCACACTGCCCCTCTGGTCCTGATGAGCCCTGGGTCCCCCAGGGTTCCCCTTGGGGGTTCCCCCAAGCAGAGGAGACAGACACCAGACTTGTTGCCTAGAAATGCTCCCTGAAAGTCACAGGTTGTTTCCCCGTGTGGTCTCGGCTGGCATGGTACAAAGCCACATACACTCAGAGTGACGGTCCCCCAGTAAGGGGTATAGCTCTTCCTTCCCTGCGTCACTTGAGGTCGGTCTGGTTCAGATCGTCCCTGACTGTGGACTGGGCTTCCCAGAGGGAGCATGTTATTTTCCAGGGCCCGTTCCCACTAAGTTCCAGGGGGAGTGGCTGAGTTTAGAGTCCCAGGTGGAAGACTTTGATTAATAGCCCCAAACTGCGTGGGGCCTGGACTTGGGGTGTGTGAAGGTAGGGACCATGATAGATGAGGCCAGAACCCAGTGGGCACTCAAGTCTGGCCTTTGGGCCGGGCTGGGAATGCAGCAGCCAGCATGGGAACCGGAAGTGGTCCGTGTGTGATCTTTACCCTGATTTGACTCCAGGTTTTATGCCATTATTGTTTGGCTTCTTACCAGCTCCCATGACCCACTCTCTGACCACATTGCTCAGAATCGAGACAGCTGCTTCGCTCAGCTGGAGTTGTTACCTCTACCTAACTCCACTGGGTTTTCTAGGAGTCACCGAGAATATTCTTGAATACCTATCCACTTCTCCAGGCTGATTTGCTGCAGGGTGAGTAGTGGTAGAGCTGACACGTGGCTTCAGCAGCTCCAGCAAAGACCTTAGATGGAGGGGCGATGTAGAGGGGGATTGGGAGCTGCAACCCCCCTGGGTCTTGCCACCTGTGGGGCTAGAATAGAAAAGTCAGGAGTTAATGATGCCAGCAGCCTCTCCCTTTTCAGTGTCACTTGCCACAGTGGCTCAAGTCCTAGGGGATCTGGTAATTAAAGCATGCCTTGTGCTTCCCTAAATAGAAAGCCTGACACACAAATGACTTCAAGTCACATCTTTGAACCACCTTGCCCTGAAGCCCCAGATCCCCAGCCTGGCCTCTTGTGACTTTGGGCCTCCTGCCCCCTAGTGGATGTGATGCTCAGAGAGTCAAGCACAGGCTGGAATAGCTTTTCTGGGTCAGCCTGTGAAAAACCAAAGTAGAAGCTGGAATTGACAAGCCACAGTCTGACAGATGTGGAAAGGACCAAAAAAAAAAAAAAAAAAAAGGTAGCTCCTTCCAAGAAATTAGGTAAAGACCTACTCTTCCTTTTGCCCTCCTTCCACCCCAGCTGGAGATCTAAATCAGCCTTAAGAAATCATTTCAGAAACTCTTTATTCTTTAAAAAGGAACAAAACATGTCTATGACTGTTTTTTAAACCTGTTTTGTAAGTCCCAGGGCCCTAGTGTGGATGGTGAGTGGTTGGTCAAAAAGAGGTGTCCCTAGGACCTGCACACTGTACAACTCCTGGGAGCACCATTCATACCATCCTCTATGAGAGTGATGCTTTTTGGGGTTGGGCAGTACACAATTTGTGGGGCTGTACCAGATGGTCCTGGGCCTCCTGAGGTCACCCAGGCTCCTAAGGACCTGGGGAGGGTCCTCTGAAGTGTGTGCTCACTGAGGTCACTGGAGGTTTCTTGGTAATGGGAGGACCACTGCATTCTGGCTCACAGGCAGGATTTCCATCCTGGGGCTCCTGTTCTCTTCCCCAGATCCCTTCATGGTTGCATAGGCTTGAACTCCTGAGGGAGAAGCAGGGTTGGAAACAGACACCAGCAAGAGACAGAGTTGGTGGCCGGGCCTTCCCCAACCATGTTCCTGCATTACTGAGAAACTTCACTCAGAAGGGGGCACACTGAATCTGATGGATGGCGCAGACCCTCCTTTTGGGCTTGGCTGTGGATCTTCCTCTGGATTTGGCATTTCCCCAAATGGGGCTCATGTTGCCTGCTCCCCGAACCTCATGGGGATGAAGACAAGGAGGGGTACAGACTGTGTCTCCTGCCTTGTCTGACCACTGGATACTCCAGGAAGCCCGTTTCTTCAGAAGAAGGGAGCCAACTTCATCTCACCCTCTTCTTCCATAAAAAGTACTGTACGCTTAATGGTCTGGTCAGAGAGCCAGAGCTCAGGAAGGTCTGGGCTGTCTTGAGGAAGCGGCAGTGGATTGGGCTGTGTGATTCTCTCCCACCGGGCACCGAGGAGGAATGGTGTAGTGACCTACCCTTGTTCCTTGTCCGGGGTTGTCTGTGTCTCCCTTTCATTCCCTTCAGACTTCTTATGGTCATGCTGGGCAGCCATACCCTAAAGCCATGGCTGGCACCAGCATCCTAGGAAACCGTAGGCAATGTCAGGAGTCCCAGTGTCCTCTGTTAGGCCACATGTAATGCCACAGATAGAGAAAAAGGGACAGTTCTCTGCTCGGTGCTAGGGTCAAGGAGGGAGTTAGAAGCCATAGCTGGTGAGGCAGCACCGAGCAGGCTGAGCCTGCACTTGAGTGGCCTTCAAGGGGACACAGGGCCTGGGGTCGCTGCTGCTCACTACTTGGGGGCTTCGGCAGCAGGGGCTCCTCCAGCCTCCACTGTTTTGGCTTTGAAGCAGCCTTTGTGGGAAGGTGATCGCTTTTTGTCAGACAGGAGAGGAGACAAGGCATCTGAGGGGAGAGGAATGGGCTCTTCTGCTACCTGTCAGAGGACAGCAGAGAGAGGAAGAAGGAATGGGGAGGCATTACCTGGCCACAGACAGGCAGCAGGCGGCCTCTGGCGAGGAAGGGGCATGGAGCCAGCCTCTCGCCCTAGGTCCAGGGGTGTGGACATTGCCTGGCTGCGGGGATCCAAGGCCTCTGCGGTGGCAGACATGAACTGTCGAGGCCAGCTTCCCTGACGCCGCTGGGTATGCTCCACCCGCCTCCTGCATGGCGGAGAGAAAGCGGATTCTGCACCAGAATCTGAAAACAGTCTGAACCAGTGGCCAAGCTTCTGAGAAGACCAGGAAACTGCCTTCCCTGGGGACAGGAGGGCCCTGATTTCAGCTCAGGGACATCGAGGGTGGCGGGGCCAGAGGGCAGTGGCTTGGGGTTCGCAGAGGAGTTGGGAAAGCCGGAAGCCAGGGCTCTGAGGAGTCAGGCCAGTGCCAGTGCTGCTGGTGGCCTAGGGCCCGACCAGGAGCCTGTGCCAGCCCAGTGAGCTCACCCGGTCAGTGCCTGTGGTATCCAGGCAGGAGGGCCTGGTTGTTGGAGCATCTGCTGGGTGCATCTACTGTGCACTGCTGTGGGTAGGGTCCCTGGGGCCTTTGGGACCCAGCTGCCTACCTGCCCTGGGCTTTCAGGAGGTGGCTGGGCTGGCACTCCTGGAGACACATTTCTCTCTGTCCTGCTGACCCAGGAGGAGAGGCAAAGACCTTTGTCTTCCCCTGGAACCTGAGCACAGGCAGCTGCTGGCCTGCATGCCCCCTCCAGGGCCCGCTGCCCACTTGCAGACCCCTCCAGTGCCGCTTCTGGACGCTCAGGTCGAGCAGGACTCAAACCTTGCCACTGGGCCCTGGCCCGGGGGTCAGTCCTTGGGCTCTTGGGACAGACCTTGAGGTGGGCACACCCAGAAGTGAACACGGCCGGCGGGTCATCTTCAGGACAGGCCCTCTCTGGGGAGGATTTCGGCCATCCTGACGGAGTCCCAGACTCTCTTCCTGTTGGACGGTTAGCTCCCTCAGGAGCCCTCGAGCTCCAGGAGATGCAGCGGGAAGCTGAGCCCTGCCCGTTATCCTTTGTTGAGTCCTGCGTGCTCACCCCACTGTGGGTGGTGGGTGGGGCTCTGGGACTGGAGGGGTGGATGCAGGGAAGGGCTGCAACCTCTGCTGATAAAGCCCAGTTCAGCCTGCCATGCTTCCTCCCCTTCATGTTGTTCCCACAGCCGCCCACCCTGAAGAACCCACTTCCGTGCCACCTTTGCCGTCAAGCCCTACCGACAGCCCAGAATGGCGGCCACGACTGCTGGCTACACCTATGCCCGTGAGGTTGGCCACCCACAGCTTGGTCACCAGTGTGCTCTGTGCATACCGTAGGTGACAATGATGGTGGGTAAAGAGAAAAGGCCATTACAGAGTTTGGACCAGCTAGCTATCAAACCAGGCTTGGAGGAGGGCAAGGGCGATGGCAGTGTGTACCCCAGTTCTGAGTTTCCCCTGCCGTGTGTCTGGTTGCTCAGCCTAGCCTGGGGCTACCTTGAGGTGCTAAGGGATTACCTTGTTGCTTTCTTCTGTGGCTTGCTGGTGTTCTCTGTGGCTTTGGCCTTCCTAACAGAGTCCCCGGTCCTGGGCTGCCATGCCCCCATTTTCCTGCCATTGCTCGTGCCTGATGCTGGGCTTCAGATGGGCGGGGTGGGGGGGAGTGCTCCTTGGTTACCATGCAGCCACGGTGGCAGGCTCGGTGACTTTCTCCCTGGAAGCAGAAAGAGGAGTTGGGGGTTGGAGGGGTTTCTTGCAAGAGCTGGGAGTTGGTGCAAACGGGGATGGGAGATGCGGATGTGGCCAGGTAGGGGTGAAGCGGGGGACGATGACATACGCAGCTCCTCCTGGGTCTTCACTGGCAATGCTGCCAAGTGCTTGGAGCTTCCTGGGTGTTTAATTTCAGACAGACTGGCTTCTTTTTGCAGAGTAGGGGCTGAGAGAGATGAGGGCCTGTGTGCAGCTGGTGTGGGTCCTGCTGCTTGTGGGGATTCTTCCTGCTCCATAGCCATGAATCCCAGCTTTTTATGCAAAGGTCTATTTAAAGTGCTCTCCTACCACTCCTTAAAGAGGAACCTTGCATCACATCTGATCATAATGCAACAGTTTCCACCAATGAAAGGCTTCATCAGTCTCATAAACTTGGAGTTTTGAGTTTTCAGGAAGGTCATACCAGCAAATCCTTAATACTTGAGATTTAAGACACAACTGAAGAGTTACTGCTGTTTCCCTAAGTGTCCAGGTGTGGGATGGTTTTCATGTACTTCGTTTTGAAATTGTGAAATCTTTCATGTTTGAAGCAGAGGGAGAGGGTTTCTTAGCCCCTTGGGCTTGGCCGAGAAGTCATTTTAGCAAGCACATCACCTCACGCCAGCTTAGATCAGTTCCCCCGTACCTCCCTTCTCTGACACGGTTTTAATTCTGTTGTTTAAAAGTACCTCAAGCATCGAAGCCTTTGCTAAGATATGTATATTCTTAAAAAGGTAAAAGCATATCTGATAACTATAAATGTAAAACATTCAAAATGTTATTTAATTCCCTAATTAGAGAGGAAATCAGTAAGACGCGATTATTTCGAAGAAGAATTGAAACGCACAGAGTCAGGCATGCTGATGTGAATTTGCAAGCACGCAGAATGGGTTAGTATTTTCGGGGCGGTCCGTCCTGGAACCCCTCTCCACTGGGATGCAGCTCATCTTCACTTCCAGGCTGAGACCCCTCTGCCGTACTGCCCGTGTTCTGACACGTACAGTACTGGGTTGTGAAATGGCTCCAAGACAGCGTAAGCCCAAGATGACTGGGAAGGGCACACTAGCCAGGACACCTGGCAGTTTCTGTTGCTCGTTTGAGTCTTTCACCATTTTCCTTGACACTTAAAAAAAATCCATCTTACAAGTCAGTGCAGAAATAAGCTCTCTCAGGGCCGACTGGCTGTTGACTGGAGGGGGTTGGGAAAGCAGCAGCCGCCCCAAACTAAAGGCATGGTGGGGCCTCCCCAAAATTGTCCTGCTGGCATCGGAGGGAGTGACCCATGAGCTGGGGGCCCTCTGGGCTCCTCTCCGGTGCTAGCCCAGCCTTGCCCCTGCCTCTCCAGTTCATCTGAGAACATGTGTGTGAGCTGTAACTACAAGACGGGAAGGAACTGGTGAGCTGGTTACGTGGCCCAAACCGCCATTCATCTCCTTCCTCCTCTCTCCTCAAGACAGGCCTGTTCTGCTGCTTTCTTTCTTTCTTTTTCTTTTTTTAAAGATTTTATTTATTTATTTGACAGAGGTCACAAGTAGGCAGAGAGGCAGGCAGAGAGAGAGGAGGAAGCAGGCTCCCCACAGAGCAGAGAGCCCGATGCAGGGCTCGATCCCAGGACGCTGGGATCATGACCTGAGCCGAAGGCAGAGGCTTTAACCCACTGAGCCACCCAGGTGCCCCTGTTCTGCTGCTTTCTTTATGTGACAGATGAAAGGACCATCATTTCCATGTGTCAGGGAGTGTGCCTTTCAGCTGCCTTGTTTTTGGCCATCGACAGCCCAATTGCTGGTAATATAAACTCATTTTTATCAACAGGCTCAATGAAATGTCCCCACCAGAATTTCCTGCCAGAACACTGACAGGTCTCCTGATCGTGCGTGTCTGTGAACCTCAGAATCTGATCTGAGTGACTTGATAGTCGTGTGTTTAAATGGAAAGTTTGCCCCCTTCTGGATCCTGGATTCTTTTGTGACCCCCTTCCCCCACCCTGGCTTATGCAGGAATATCTGGGAATGGGCCAACAAGCTGATGTGGGGATTGCCTTGCCATTCCAATGTGGTCAGGTCTGGCTGCGCGAGGTCTCCCCATTCCTCGATGTCCCTGCTGGGGCTGTTGGCCCATTTGTGTGCCCGTCAGCCCCCGTGCCAGGGCAGGAGCCAAGGAGCCCACAGGGGCCCCTTAATGGCAGGAGGGCTGAGCAGGAGGAAGTGGACATCAATTCAATCAGAATATTTCACTCTTCTCTGATTTTTGCTTTTCCTCGTTTTCTTTCCCAGGCATGGCCACAGCCAAACTTTTCTGAAACAGGTTCACAGAGAAGAGCATCCTCTTCTGTTTGGAATTTTGTTTACTCTTCATCTGTCCACTGATTTCCTCAGAGTATTTTTATTTTATTTTATTTTTTAAAGATCTTCTTTATTTATTTGAGAGAGAGAGCGAGAGAGTGAGAGAGAGCATGAGAGGGGAGAAGGTCAGAGGGAGAAGCAGACTCCCCATGGAGCTGGGAGCCTGATGCGGGACTTGATCCCCGGACTCCAGGATCATGACCTGAGCCGAAGGCAGTCGCTTAACCAACTGAGCCACCCAGGCGCCCCTCCTCAGAGTATTTTTAAAAATGATATAGGAAATACCCCAACAAAAGACTGTCTGGCCAGGCTGACATCTGCTGTCGTTTGAAGGTCATGGAGGCGGAGCAGACCAAGACAAGGAGTGAGCTGGTACACAAGGAGACGGCGGCCAGGTACAACGCGGCCATGGGCCGTATGCGGCAGCTGGAGAAGAAGCTCAAGAGAGCCATCAACAAGTCCAAGTGAGTCTGGGCGTGTGGGACCCCGGGGCCCTGGGTGATTGTCCTCCTCTCAGGCATCTTCTCCACCTTTTGTGTGCCATGCAGTCAGGGACCCACCTCCTCAGAGTCCCCCAAGTTCTGTATAACCCCGCAAGGCAGGAAGTGCTGCTCCAGCTGTGACCGACCTGGAAGACACAGAAAAAAGAATTTCAAAAGCACACCATCGCATAGCTCATTGGCTGGGGCCTGGGGCTGGGCTTTGGGAGACTCAGTGCCCTTGGCTCTGTGGTGGACAGTGTGGATGAGCTGCGTCCTTCTGTCAGCATAATGGGCATGAGCTGTGTGCACAGTACACGTTCTCTGTGGACCAAGAGCCAATGAGACAGTGCAAGACTGGTTTTAATGGAGGCTTCTGCAAGCTTTACTCGTGATTGCTATATATTTTTATACAGTAAGGATCTTGGGGACAAGCCCCCTGCTTCATTCACAGTCTCTGGGCCTCCACGCTTTTGAAGAGCTTCACAAGAGGTGAACAGCCCAAGAATAAAGCACTGGTCTTCTCTTAATGCTCGACACCAAAGTTCCTAAAAAGAGCCAGGGTCTTTTGACTGGCCCAGAATGCGGAGACCAGTAGAATGTTAGCATTTGTCCTCCCTCTTGCCCATGACCGGGCTGGGTCTGCAGACTGATGCCTCTGGTCCTGGGCAGAATCCAGGAGGACCAGTCTGAGCCCCCGTGCTTTTGGCGATGGGTGAATGGTGCTTCTCTCCTCCCTGGGTGACCCCAGTAGAGGAGGATGTGTGCTGAGGCAGCTCCTTCTCCTCATCTGTTCTTCAGTCTTGAGGGGGCCAATCTCCTCCTTAGGAGAAGGGGATCCAGGCTGCCTTGGCTGCTGGGCACACCCTGTATGGCCTTGAATAGCCCCCCAGGGAGGAAAGTGAACCAGGGTACAAGGAGTTAAGTGTTCACGTGTGTGGGTTCTGCGGATCTTGAGATGGGCCTTCTGTCAGCTCAGCTCTGACTGGCGCCCGTATCCATCAGGCTCCAGAGGCACAAGTATCCTCTTCATCTCATGGCGTGGTTGGCGTTTACATCCTGGACGGATGGCCTGCTGGCCTTAAGCTAGTGCCCCGGGTATGCCCTCTGGTGGCCACTGGGATCATTGTATTCTGTCACCCTTACAGTTCTTCCTTGTGTCTTCCCCAGGCCCTATTTTGAACTCAAGGCAAAGTACTACGTGCAGCTTGAGGTACGTGTAGCCTTCTTTGGCTTTGTTGTCGATGGAATTTTTCTGCGAAGTTCCACTTTATGTGGCAGCGGGCTTTCACATGGCATATTTGCTACAAGAGGAGAATGGAGAGAGAAGCACATTCTTTACTGAGTTTTCAGGCCTCAGAGTGGTCTTGGTTGGGTCCTCAACGGTGTCTGCAGTCTCTCAGTGTGCCATTTAGCCGCTTTCCGCACTGTACCAGGGCAGTGGTTCTCGGGGGCTGCTGGGACCAGCATCAGCTTCGCCTAGAAAGTGCAGATTTCCCAATCCCCACCCCGTGCAGATCTACTGAATTAGAAACTGCAGGTGTGGGGCACCTGGGTGGCTCAGTGGGTTAAGCCTCTGCCTTCGGCTCAGGTCATGATCCCAGGGTCCTGGGATCAAGCCCCACATTGGGCTCTCTGCTCAGTGGTGAGCCTGCTTCCTCCTCTCTCTCTGCCTGTCTCTCTGCCTACTTGTGATCTCTGTCTTTCAAATAAATAAATAAATAAATAAATAAATAAAATCTTTAAAAAAAAAAAAAAAAGAAACTGCAGGTGTGAGCCCAGCCATCTGTGTTTTCAAAAGGCCTCCAGGGGGTTCTGATGCACCCTTAAGTTTGAGAACCACAGTACAAGGGACCAAATGTCTAGAAAGTGGGGCTTGTGTGTGAGTTTGACACCCATTCTTTCTCTGATGGGGTTTATCCTGCTAGTGGTAGTGTTTGGTTATTAGTGTGAGTTTGTCACCTGGATAGGAGTTGGGGCTGGGAGTGTGGATCTCTTGTGTGGATCTCTTGTGTGGATAGCTGGTAAGAGAAATCAGGCCATCACTCATGTCTTGGGGAAGTCTTTGGAGTGGAGGGAAGGGCAGAAATTGCTTGAACTTGTTATTCAGAAGCCTTGCAAGGCCAGTAGGGGCTGCCTCCACTTACTGGGCCTCCTGTTCTCTTGACCAGCAACTGAAGAAGACTGTGGATGACCTTCAGGCCAAACTGGCCCTGGCGAAAGGCGAGTACAAGACGGCCCTGAAGAACCTGGAGATGATCTCAGATGAGATCCATGAGCGGCGGCGCTCCAGTGCCATGGGGCCTCGGGGCTGTGGCGTGGGGGCTGAGGGCAGCAGCACGTCTGTGGAGGACCTGTCAGGGAGCAAGCCTGAGCCGGATGCTGTTTCTGGTGAGTTCTGGGGGCTCGTGTGCAAGTGGGAGATGACGCAGCTTGTGTGGTCTGCTTCCAGGGCTGCCTCGCCATCATGGAAGGGTCTCAGAGCTGGGCAGGCCAGAAAGGTGGTGATTTCTTGTGGCTTCCCACATTTTGTGGAATGCTGTATTTATCAAGGTGCTACTACTCTGTTTCTCAGAGTCAGGGTTCTGCGGTGGATGAGTTTGGAAAATGTTACACTTTCACTCTGACGTTCAGAGTACATATGAGAACATTCAGGGCAGGAAGGGAGAGTTGCCTCTGAATAGGGACTGTGTGCACAGATTTTATTCAAATCCTGGGTCCTCCTAGTACATGATGTGGACAAGGGCTCAACTCCGTTGTTTCAGCTGTAAAGTAGGGAGTATGAGCACCTAGTACCCACTGTGTAGAGGGGAGGCTGGAATTAGATGAAATAATGGCAGGCACCCAGAAGTCTGAAAATGGTGACTCTCACTGGTGTCTAACTATAGACACCTTTTTTCCCAAGGCCACCTGTTGGGAAACTGGTACATGTTTGCTGTGCCGCTCCCCCTTTATCACTTTACTTTTTTCCTCATGATACATATACTCTTTAATTCCCATCTCCTATTTCCTTCATCCCCCCACTCCCTTCCCCTCTGGTAACCATCAGTTCTCTGTAGCTAAGTGTGTTTCTTCTTTTTGGGTTTTTTTCCTTTGCTCATTTGTTCCTTAAATTTCACATGAGTGAAATCATATGGTATTTGTCTTTCTCCAACTTACTTCTCTTAGCATAAAACTCTTTAGCTCTATCCACGTTATTGCCAATGCAAGATTCCGTTCTTTTTGATGGCTGAGTAATACTCCTGTGTGTGTGTGTGTGTGTCTCATCTTCTTTATCCATTCGTCCATCCATGGACACTGAGTTGCTTCCATATCTTGGCTGTTGTAGATAATGCTGCTGTAAACATAGGAGTGCATGTGTCCCTTTTAATTAGTGTTTTTGTATTTCTGGGCAGTAAATACCCAGTAGTGGAACTTCTGGATCATAGGGTAATTCTTTTTTTTTTTTTTAAAGATTTTATTTATATATTTGACAGAGAGATCACAAGCAGGCAGAGAGGCAGGCAGAGAGAGGAGGAAGCAGGCTCCCTGCTGAGCAGAGAGCCCGATGCGGGGCTCGATCCCAGGACTCTGAGACCATGACCTGAGCCGAAGGCAGTGGCTTAACCCACTGAGCCACCCAGGCGCCCCTAGGGTAGTTCTTTTAATTTTTTGAGAAACCTCCATACTGTTTTCCACAGTGGCTGCACCAGTTTGCATCCCCACCAACAAGGCACAAGGGTTCCTTTTTTTTCCACATTCTTGCCAACACCTGTTTTTTCTATGTTTTTGATTTTAGGCATTCTGACAGGTGTAAGGTGGTATTTCATTGTGGTTTTGATTTGCATATCCCTGATGATGAGCGATGTTGAGCAACTTTTCATGTGTCTGTTGGCCGTATGTTATGTCTTCTTTGGAGACATGTCTGTGCATGTCTTTGACCCATTTTTAATTGGATTATTTGTTTTTGTGTTGACTTGTATAAATTCTTTATATATTTTTGGATACTCTTATTTGGATATGTCATTTGTAAATATCTTCTCCCATTCTGTAGGTTGCCTTTTAGTTTTGATATTTCCTTCACTGGGCAGAAGCTTTTTATTTTGATGTAGTCCCATTAGTTTATTGCTTTGGTTTTCTTTGCCTCATGAGATCTGTCTCAAAAAATGCTGCTATGACCGATGTCACTGAATTACCGCTTGTGCTCTCTTCTAGGATTTTTATGGTTCCAGGTCTCACATTTAGGTCTTCAATCCATTTTGAGTTTTTCTTTGTGTATGGTGAAAGAAAATGGTCATTTTCCCTTTAGGCTAAGCAAGAAAACTTTTTCAGCACTGTCTTTGTACACTTCCTTTCTTTCCTTTTCTGTGGAATAATCCCTGTTGGTCCTCTCCCAAGGTCCTTCCTCCAGAGTTTTGAAATTCGGTCAACAAATGTTTAAGTACCAGGCCCAAAGGAAAGGAAACTAAAATTTGATCGTCAGTAATGTGTGAGGTACTCTAATATCCAGCCTCTCACATGGAGAGGAACATGAAGCTCAGGTTAAGTAACCTGACCAAGGCTACACAGCAAGGGAGACAGGATCTTAATTCAAATAAAAGCCCGTTTTCTGTCCTCAGTATTACAGTACTTTTCACTGATGGTAGTCCTCTAGGGGATGCTACCATGTTTTTAAAGATGAGGGAGGGAGAGTAGAATAGGAAAGGTCTAATAAGCAGGCTTATGTGCAGGCTGAAGGGAAAAGAGTTAAAGGTGAAAGTGGCTTTCAGATCACAAGAATGGCCTGTCGTCTGGGCCTTGGTTATTCTGATCTACAAAATGAGTTAGGTACAAGCTAAGAGCGCTGTAAAGGAATTTTGTCCTTTTGTAGCAAATGGTGTGTCTTACATGCAATGGGAAGTTTTATGCGATCTGGAGATCACAGGATCCCAGCAGATACTCCACAAAGGACTGTTCTCGCAGCTCCTTCTGCTACACGGAAGCAGCTGTCACATCTTACTAGCTTTGTTCGGCGAGCATCCCAAAGGGCCACTCTCTTCCTCTGTACTTGCGGATCTGGGGTGGAGAAATGCCCCTGATCTGGGCTGATTTATCCTCGTCCTTTAGGTAGTCAACACTGACTTTCCAGAGCAGGAGTTAGAAAGTTATCGTAAGGACACTGAATATCTACGGGGCCCAGCTGCTTCCCTTCAAGTTGCTGGACACTCTGGCTACGCAGACTTGGGAGGGTCAGTCCTTTACTCAGGTGCACACAGGGGCAGGGATTCTGCCGTCCCAAGGCCGCATCTGGCTGCTGGACAGGGGGGCACGCTTCTGGAGGGGCTGAAGGAACAAGGTTGCTCCATGTCAGAACCTCTGACCGGTATCCTCTCTCCTCCTAGTGGCCTCCGAGGCCTTTGAAGATGACACCTGCAGCAACTTCGTATCAGAAGACGACTCGGAAACCCAGTCGGTATCCAGCTTTAGTTCAGGGCCCACAAGCCCATCGGAGATGCCTGACCAGTTCCCTGCAGCTGTGAGGCCTGGCAGCCTGGATCTGCCCAGCCCCGTGTCTCTGTCAGAGTTTGGAATGATGTTCCCGGTACTGGGCCCTCGCAGCGAGTGCAGTGGAGCCTCCTCCCCTGAGTGTGAGGTGGAACGAGGTGAGTTATAGCCCTCTCACCAGTAGTGCCTGGGCCACATGATGCACTGCCTGGGCAGCCAGAACTCCGCACTGTTCAAGACCTTTGCCAGGTCTCGGCAGCCCCAGGGCCGCGTGACCGGGCCTCTGGGAACGTGCGGTCTGTGTTGATCACGGAGATGCCAGCCACTGTTCTTGGGGCTCCTGGCTCCGCTCCCGAATGATTCTTAAAAAACGGCGGTTTGAGTTCTTTGATCCCCAGGAGTCCTCTTCACAAGTCTGTGCTAGCGAGCTGTTTCCCCACTGTTAGGGTGGGACCAGTCCTCTCTAAAGATAAGGAGTACCTAAAATGCCTTGAGCCATAAAAGCCGTCTGTCATCACGTGATGGAGAAGGCTCTGTCTGTGACAGGCACAGCAGGGGAATTTTGGGAGATTCTGGAGGGCTGCAATGGCCTGGGCCCAGGAGACTCCTGGAATTGTCAGTACTCACCCGATGACCTTTACCTTTCTCTAGGAGACAGGGCAGAAGGGGCAGAGAATAAAACAAGTGACAAAGCCAACAACAACCGAGGCCTCAGCAACAGCAGCGGCAGTGGCAAGAGCCAAAGTAGCACCGCCCGCGAGGGCCAGGCCTTGGAGAACAGGATGAAACAGCTCTCCCTCCAGTGCTCGAAGGGAAGAGACGGGATTATTGCTGACATAAAAATGGTGCAGATTGGCTGATCCATCCAAAGCCCTGGCCCAAGTGCATAGCAGTATTTATACACAAAACTGTATGGAGAACATTGTGCCAATAATCATTTAATATATGCCAAATCTTAAGCGTTTACTCTAAACTGCACTAATGAAGTTGTGACCTTGAGGGCTTAAGAGTTTTCTTCTGGGAGAGAGCTCTTGGGCTGGTTTTTCAGAGCAGAGGCGTTGTTGCAGTGGACTGTGACCAGGGTCACAGCCTTTGTGGAATATTACCCGTAACAGTGTTATGGAAGCAATAACTAGTTCCTGTGAAAGAACCCAAGCCAGGAAAGGGCCTGGGAAGCTGAGCCAAACTGGGGTCAACAGCTTGCTTCTCTTTCCCTTCTTTGACCCTCAATTTGGGAAAATGGAGATGGTGTCTCCTTTATATCCCAGGGGATCGAAATGAAAAAAAAAAAAAGAACAAACTCAAATATTCAGAACACACCTTTCTGGGCCAGCGAAGGCTTAAAAAAAAAAAAAAAGAAATCCAAGAACACAATTTTCATCATCTCTGGTATTCAGGGCTTTTTAAAAAAGCCTATATGCTGGTATACCCATTAGAACCATTTTCTATAAACGTTACACCATGAACTGCACTTTTTGGGATGGGAAGGGTGAATGACAACGTGGGGATGGGAGGGACGGAGGGTAGCAGGGACATACCATAGAAGGCAATTTGTGGCTGTGGGGGAGGAGAGTCTGTAGCATAAACCTTATCCCACCAGCCATGGGACTTAAGAATTAAGAGAAGTGCATGTGAAGAATGGTTGCCATTATTATATCTAGATTGACAAAGTGTCAGTTTCTCTGTAGGTTGTGACTTTAAAAAAAATAAAATTATTTAAGGGTTATGCTGCATTAGTATTTCTTAGAGGGAATTGTTCCTTAAAGCTAGGAAAGGGAGTAGGCATGTGTTGGCACAGGCTGTTAAATAGAAGCAATGAAGTCTGTTATGCTAATAGTAGTACGTGTTAAGATTGCTTTCCTTTAATGTTTTCATGGTTACACATATTTAGAGCACTGTATTTTTTTGTCTTTTTGTTAAGAAAACTAGCATTTCTAAAAGAAAAGCAACCCCATTTCAAGTTGTCTGTTCTGACACAGCTTGTATATTTTAGTCATTTGTAAATCTCTTCATACTGTAGTGTTTTCTCCTTTTTTAATGACTGATACAGTATCCTAATTACAAGGTTATTTTGTACCTGTCTTAATTTCTTGAGTGTAATAAAAAACAGTTTAAGAAAATGTTTACTTTTGTGTGTCTTCCAATAAGAAACCCTGATGTTGCCTAAATCTTCCATTCTAGGCAACCTTCTTGCCACAAGGAAGAGCATGGAATGCAGTGGACATCTGTTCTAACTTCCAGTTAAGGTCCTGGATCCTAATAATTTAAGCCCCAACTATGAAGGTTTGAGTTAGAATTCTGCTGTGACTAAAGCGCAGTAAGGAGAATGCAGCTTTAGGAGAATGAAGACAAGGTGATTATGTCAGAGTGCTTCCCAACCTCTGCTGCACTGCAGTCTCCCAGGAAGCTTCAAGAAGGCGGCTGTTCGCCGGTCTTAGAGCCTGAGATCATTTGGGGGTACGCCTGAGGTACCGAACTTTTAAAAGTTCCCCCAGGTGATTCTAATGTGCATTGGGTTGACATTCAGGCTGTTTTTTCCTATCTGTAGCGCCGTATCTGGAGCTCTATTATAACAATTCAATATTAGATTAAACTGGTATATGTAGGTCTCCATTCGGTTTTTGAGGGTAGGAATTAGGTCTTATTTGTTTGCATCCTGTACAAATATCTTTAACATAAAATGTTCCAATTATGTGTTTAAATTTTTCTTTAAAGGGCCACAAAATGAATCCATCTAAAATTGAAAATACTAAATATTTACCAAAGTGGAATCACTGTCCTGAATATGAAAACAGATTTGCTGAAGCCTGAACGGTCATGTAACTAATGAGTTCTTTTAGATGGAATGTACTAGATGAAGCCTTTTAATAATCTCTCTAGGTTACTATGCAGTTTCCATAAGTATAAAGATTTTATTTCAAATCAAGGTAGCAGAAATACAAAATAACTGGTGATAGTTATAAAGTAGAGACGACGAAAAATTCCACCTTATTTTCAGATGTTTAAAATCTTGAGCATCATTCTGCTCTCATGGATTTCTATGTAAACTGGGAATTTATACATGGCATTAGTATCTTGGCAGCTTTTCCAAATACAACCCCAATTACCATATATTAAATTTTCAATCGTGTTTTTTTTTCAGTGTTAACATAAGAGCAATTTTTAAAAGACTATACAAACTAAATTGTAATGTCTTCAGTGTCTCAGATTACTACCTTCATTTAGCCTGTTAAAAGTAAGAAATGCAATACTGAATATATCTCAGCTCTCCTTACATGAGTTAATGGGAGACAGGTACCTAAGTTCAACCACCTTCATTGTAAACTAAGTTAAAATATTTCTTAAAGCTTTATTCTTTCATAACATCTGGGCAACAAACATTAAAAATCCTAACACAAAATCTATTATGGTAACATGATTCATTTGGTAATTAGCTGCCCAAGATGTAGAGTCACAACACAAGCAAGTTTAACTTACAACATGCTCTGCCAAAAGACAAATGTATTTCAGAATATTATTCCAGCCTACTGTTCCACCCAGTTGAGTGGATAAGTCATGTCCCTTATCCGGTCTCTATTCTCTTCTAGTAAAGGCACCATACAGTGCTGACTGAGCCTAACCTTTAATCCTCTACAGTCTGTTTATACAATGGGGCCCCTCAATGCAAACCAAGTCCTTGTACACACAAAACCATGTAAATAGTACTTCTGAGTGATTTAGGGTAATTCTGACTATATACAATTCTAAACACTCTGACTTGAGCAGCACCAGATCCCACTGTAACATTTTGAGAGTTAATTCTGTTCTGATTGTTTGGTGTCCTGAGGATTTCTGTCCTCATTTGAAGAGCTGATTTGTAAGTATAAAATCCAGTAAAGCTGAAAGCTGCATCACTGAAGTTGCGTTGTCTTGATCGGGATAATACTATTGAAGTCCAAGAAAAAAGGTCCTTCTTGTTTAGGCAAAAAAGTACTAGGAATGATATTGTAGATCCCCGCAGGTATATTTTCTAATTCCAGGTAGCAAAACCCACACCTATATGCAGGGAAATGAGAACAAAGTTTACAGAAGATGATGCCACAAAGAGTAAAGTATAAATTAGATGCAGTCAAAATGTAAACATTACCTATAGTCACCACTAGACTTCCTCTGAAAGCCATGGGGACCAGGATCTCCCACCACAGACACTGTTACAACCTCAAATCCAACACTATATTGCCTGGCAATAAAAAGAAACAATTACTGTTGTTATTAAGTAGTCTCAAATACATACCTAAAAATAACTAAAGTGCAGATATACTATTGAACTGAGTATATGCTTTCTAAAGCTTTAGGAGGCGGAAACCACTCTGGAACACATGCATATACTATTTTTATTCTTAATTATACAAGATGCCATTTATATTTTTATATTGATTTATATTCATATTTTTAAATTGAAGCCATGAAGATCAGTATTAAACTTACTTTAGAAGAAATAGTATTTTTACCACAGGCTCTCGGAGAATACTGTCAAATTTAAATGATAAAATACGATCTTTGCAGAAAAAAAGGACAGAGCCTGAAATCTGAATTTACAGAAGTAATTAGCATATGGTAGACAATGACATTCCAAATCAGTAGGGAAAAGAAGGATTATTCAGATGGTGAGGAGGTAACAAATTTAGGAAAAAGAACTGACACTGTATTCACACCAAATATAAAAATACATTCCATCTAGATGTAAAAAGCAAACCACAAAAGACCTAGAAAAAAATATGGTACAAATCTGATACTGGGGTGAGATTTCCTGCCCATAGCAAAATAAACCTGAAAAGACATCTGATTACTTTAAAAAGAAAATTTTCTCTACATTAAAAAAAAAAAATGATCTGGGAAAAATACTTGCAAATATGTGATACGTGCCTAAAGTTAAGAAAACCATGACAATTCCAAGAGAAAAATGGGCAAAAGACATGAACAGGGAAAGCAAAAGATACTGTCAAACACTTTTATGTCAAATCCTTCTACTTCAATCTACGAATTGAATACAAAAAGAGCAACAACTAGATACCTTATTTTACCTACCAAACTGTAGAAAACTAGCTTAACCGTATATAAAAGATTAGTGTTTGTAAAGAGGCAAAATTCAGGCGAATTTTACTTATTTTTATTGTTTTTTAAACCTTTTTAAGTTGAGAAATAGAAAACAATGTACACACAACATACAGCCTACATAACACATAAAGTGAACACATAGGTCGTCACCACCCAGATCAACGCAACTCTCAGCACCGGAGAAGTCCCTGTACATGCCTTTCTCATTACAGCTCCTGTCCCCACAGAGTTAACATTTAACAATGTCTTGCCTTTAAGAGTATGTTGACATATGTTAGTTTCAGAGTACAACAGTGATACAAGTTCTGTATGTTATGCTCACCACACTGGGTGCACACACCGTACGGTGCAACAGTATTATTGACTATATTCTCTGTTGTACTTTTCATCCTTCTGACTTATTTTATACTGGAAGTTTGTACCTCTTAATCTCCTTCACCTATTTCACCCATTTCCCAACCCCCTTCCCTACTTTCTTGCTTTTATATAGTCTGACAACCTAAGCACGCATCTTTAAATAGTAGTTTCGTTTTGCTTGCTCCTCACTTAAGTGGAATCATACAGTTGATGTTCTATTATGTATGGCTTCTCCTCAGCTTTGTTTTTAAGACTTATCCATCATGTTGGGTAGCTATAATTTATTTTCATTGTTATGCAGCACTCTATTTTATAATCTTCAATGCTACTGATGAACACTTGGGTTGTTACAAATGTTTGGCTCTTACAACGGCTTATCACCCATTTTGGACTGTTCCTCTTATGACATGCCTGTCCAAGCTTTCATTTTTTTAAACTGTGGACTCTTTTTTTAATAACTAGTGTAGAGTATTTACAAATCCTTCTATGTGCTCTTTGTGTCTTAACTTTTTCTTTATCCTGAAGTCATTAAAATATCTCCTTTATTAGTAGCCCAACTGCAATAGATTTTTAGATCTGATGTGAGAAAGTGGTCTAAGAACCTTTTTGGCACATGGATACTCCAACTATCCCAGCACATTTATTCAACAGCCTATCCTTCCCCTGCTCCTCTACAATGCCATCTTTTTCACTAATCAAGTGCCTATATATGCCTAGGTCTGTTCCAAAACCCTATTCTGTTCCATTAAACTCATTTTTAATATGATATTAACTTAAGAAAGTTACTTAATCACAAACCTTGGTCCTCTTAGCTCAATCAGTAATGGCCCGGTCTTTTCTATATGGAATTGGTAGATGGGGTTATTTCTGTGAGTTTCTTGGAAATTTCCACATCCTCCAGCACTCTGGCCACTCCACTTTCCATTAATCTTTAATAAAACAAAGTTTTTGTATTAGCAAAACTTCCTATTCTCCAATTCTACTTTAAAGACTTCAAAAAGGGAATGGTGTCACCAAGATGGCAACAAAGGTTCCTCCTGCTTTGCTCCCGTTCACAGGGACAACTAACAGCTATTCCAGAAGAGGATAGCACTGAGAAATTCCTGAACATGGATGTGAGGCAGAAGCACCCTCCTGCACCACAGAGCCTAAGACAGGTTACATTAGAAGGACAAGAGAAGCAGCTACATGTTGACTGCACTGTCTCCAGGCCAGCACCAGGTGGTGATGTCTTCCCAGAGCTTCTGATTCTTCAGTGAACAACAAGCTTCCCCTAAGAATTGTGACTTGCTTTACAAAAGCCCCTACTTGATCTCGCACCGTAAGGATTACACGAGAAACTGTGACAAAGAAGAGGGTGGAGCTTGCAACAACCAGCACGGGGACCTCAGCAGGCTGAATTCATACCTGAGGCACCCAAGTAGTAATTGCAGAACCAAGTTAGGGGTATGCTTCCACCCAGGAGCTTGGCAGGGTGCAGATCTGCCTGATTTGGATAGCCAAATGGTACTGCTGGCCTTACAGCCTGGATTGCCCACATCAGGCAAGGAGCTGAGTCACAGCCCCAACTGCTGTAGACGCTGCCTTCCAGCTCCATCTGACCAGAAGGGCTGGTGACAACTACTGGATGCTGTGCATTCCAGTGGCCAAGAGTAGGCAGAACCAAGAGTTCACGGAGCAAAGCCAGTGGCCCTGTCTGGTTACAGCTTGGGGTGTAGGTGGGCTTATGTCAAGATAACAAAGAGATGCTTCTCCTGCTGAGCCCAGGCAGGAAATCTGATTTGTACGCCTGCTCATCACCAAATACAGCCTTCAGTCTCTCTGACCAGGGAACTGAACCAGTGCACAGGGAGAACTGCATAACCCAACAGCCCTTTCATAGTGGCGCTTGAACAAAAAGCACAGCTTGTGGGTTTGCCCTGTCTGCAGAGCAGAAGTGGTGGCCTCACCTGACTAGGGAATTCAGTACAGGTCCCCTTACAAAGAGATTCACAACCCCTGGGTCCTGTCCTGTTGCCCTACCAAAGCAGGGAAACTAATTCATAGCCCCATCTACTACTGATTATAGTATCATGTCCTGACTTTGTAGTAAGTCTGACCAGAGAATCTAAGCAACTGTGGAGCCTGTTCCACAGCCTCATTTGGGTAGGACCAAGCCAGTAGTCCTACCCAACTGTTCTCAGCTCATGGCACAACCACCATTCCCATCCTCAGAGTCCTAACAGCGGCCTTGACCAAAAACAGACCATCATGGCAGGCCCAGTGTGCCCAAGGACAATACCAGCAGACAGCCAGAAACCCAAACTAAGCTAACTGGTGGAAAAAGTCCTGCCACAGCAAAGCTGGAAAGTCAGCCTAATCACTCAAAAGTGCAGATTTATAAACCTAAAAACGAAGGATCACAAAAAATCAGGTAAATGGGACATCATCCAAAAAAATGAACAATGCTCCAATAACCCTAAAAAATGGAGATCTATGAACTGTAACACAAAGAATGCAGAATAATCCTTAAGGAAGCTTAATGAACTATATGAAAACACACAATCCCCAGGTATGCAAGGATGGTTCAACACAGCTAATCAGTTCAATGTGGTAAGTCACAATAGAGAGAATGGAAGAATCTTATAATCATCTCAACAGACACAGAAAAAGCACCTGACAAAATTCAACATCCATTCATGGTAGAAACGCTTTCCTAAGAAATGTGGAATAGAAGGAACATATCTCAACATAGTAAAGGCCACATACAACAAGCTTATAATTAACATACACAATGATGAAAAGTGAATGCCTCTCCTCTAAGATCAGGAACAAGACAAGAATGTCCACTCTTACCACTCCTATTCAACATATTTTGGAAGTCCTAGCTAGTGTAATCAGACAAGAAAAAGAAAATGTAGCAAACTGGAAAGGAAAAATAAAATTGTCTCTATTTGCAGATGACATGATTTTATATATAGAAAAACCTAAAGACGCAAACAGAAGACTGTTAGATCTAATCAACAAATTCAGTAAAGCTGCAAGATACAAAATTAACATACAGAAATCAGTACCATTTCTATGTTAACAATGAAGTTTCTGAAAAATAAATCAATCTCATAATAACAAAAACAATAAGATACTTAGGAATAAATTTAAGGAGATAAAAGAGCTATCATCTGAAAACTACTATTAAACATTAATCAAAGAAATTGAAAATAAAACAATAAATGGAAAGATATCCTATGTTCATAGACTGAAAGAGTTAATATTGTTAAAATGTCAATACACCAAAAGTTATCTATAAATTCAATCCAATCCCTATCAGAGGACTCCAATGACTTCTTCTTAAACACAAAAAACACTTTTTTTTAAAGTTTTTTTTTTTTTTAATATTATTTATTTGACAAGAGATCACAAGTAGGCAGAGAGGCAGACAGAGAGAGGAAGGGGGAAGCAGGCTCCCCACTGAGCAGAGAGCCCGATGTGGGTCTTGATCCCAGGACCCTGGGATCATGACCTGAGCCGAAGGCAGAGGGTTTAACCCACTGAGCCACCCAGGCGCCCCACACAAAAAACACTCTTAACATTTACACAGAACCACACAAGACCCTGAACAGCCAAAGAAATCCTGATAAAGAACAAAGCAGGAGATAACACACTTCCTGATTTCAAGCTGTACTATAAAGCTATGGTCATTAAAACAATACAGTACTGACAGTATAAAAACCACATACAGGCCAACAGAATAAAGAGCCTGGAAATAAACCCAAGCATGTATGGTCAATTAATATTTGATAAGGGAGCCAAGAATTCTCCCTCAAATCTTCCTCTACAGATGACATCTAGCATACCCTGCAAAACCAGTCTCAAATTCTACCTTCAAGGTTCATTTATGGACACCTGGGTGGCTTGGTCGTTAAACATCTGCTTTCAGTTTGGGTCATGATGCTAGGGTTCTAGGATGGAGCTCTGTGGCAGGCTCCCTGCTCAGCAGGGAGACTACTCCCCTTGTCCCTCCCCCAACTCATGCTTGTGCACTCCCTCTGAAATAAATCTTTTAAAAAAATAAATATAAAATAAAGGTTCATCTACATGATGAATCCTTCTCTAATGACCAAAGTCTGCATAATCTTTTCTCTTTGAGCCTTATTTCTTTTCACAGAATCACTAAATATTGTTCACTTAAGATTTTGTATTCCAACCCAGACTGGAGGCCACTTACATTTCCCTTGTATTACTGTCAAGTCCAGAATGTTTTTATTTTGTAAGAAATTCTTAAATGTGAATAAAATGAGAAAAGGAGAAAAAGATGAGGGAATTCTAAGCATTCTCTGATATTATGACCCAGAGAAAGAATTCTTACCTGTTTTGATAAGGTGTACGGTGAAGGAATCTTTGAAAAAGTAAAGCTGCAGGCTGAATATACCTAGATTTTAAACAAAATTTATTGTATTGATAAAGTTTATGCTTATAAAAACTCCATAGTGATAAAGAATATACTTAGAAGACTGAAAAATCAGTTGGTATACATAAAAGTAATTAATCTGTACACAGGCTTAATGAACTGGGAATTGAGCAGCTAGGGATCTTGTTCTGGCTTTCTCTGCTCCTATGTGTGACTCAGGACAATGTCCCTAGGCCTTGGTTTCTGCATCTGAAGAAAAAAGGTGGGTAGAAGCAGCCACCCAATGTCCTTTTCATCACTAAAAATCTATTCAAGTTGAGCTCCCTTACTGATGTATGGGGAAAAAAACCTATGCAGAACAAAATTACAATAACCTTCTTCCACCCCAACCAACCAACTAACCGGCCCAGCTATAAGAGGGCAATATGTTCATAGGCAACTGATTTCCTTTCACAGAGTTCAAAGTTGTGTTTTTTAAGTCAATTAAAGTATTACATAGGATAAAGGAGTTCTTAACTGCTTGTTCTGAGATAGAATTTATTAGTTCAATGTATCACATTACCTCAGGACCAAACTATTATTCTGAAAACTAAAATGCTCATTCAATATGTCATTCAAAATAAAAATATTACTTTTCAAAAGCATTACTTTCTCTGGGAAGCATCGTAATTTAATGCTGAATTAATATAAGCACATATACACAAAAATTTATAGACCATTTTCAGAAATACATTTTTTCTATAGCTAATCCCACTAAGAAGCAGAGCACATTATGTACTTGAAATTATTGTGTTCTGTCATTGTATGTTGGTTTACTCACCCGGACAGTATAATGGATTGTATTCTGCTTTTCATACTGAGAAACCACTAATGTAAAGGTATGGGTCCCAGGTGTGGTCAGCTTTATCTTAGTCAAATAATGAGGGCTGTTAATTCGAATGCCATCAATGTATGGAGGCGGGTCACCTACAAATAAGTAGGTTTACAGAAAAGGATACTTTAGTTTCTGTAGTTTTTAAATTAAAGTTTTATAGGTCATGATAGGAAAAAAAATTAAATGGATGGACATCCCTCCCCCTTGATTCCATCTTTAAAACGTAATAGTACAAAGGAATTTCAACTTAAAACTTTACAATTAAAAATTTTAAATAATTGCTAGTAAGTAAAGGCTATCTTTTGGAATACATTCAATGAGACAGAAGATAATACCTACTAGCCCTGTGCTGAATTTTCTCCAGTAGAGGATTTTAAAATCAAGATTGGTGCTTTTTTATTTTGAGGCAATATTTTTTAAGATACAAAGTAGCATATAAAAATATATCTATATTCCTCACCATTCAGAACTAAATTAACATTTTTGGGAGTCATACTAGCTTCCTTATAAAACAAAGTCCCTTTTAAACACCACCGTTAGTCTCATTCTGTTCCACTCTGATGAATTAATGGGCATCTTTTCTTTTCTTTTTTTTTTTTTTTTTTAAAGATTTTATTTGACAGACAGATCACAAGTAGGCAAAGAGGCAGGCAGAGAGAGGGGAAGCAGGCTCCCTGCTGAGCAGAGAGCCCGATGTGGGGCTTGATCCCAGGACCCTGGGATCATGACCTGAGCTGAAGGCAGAGGCTTTAACCCACTGAGCCACCCAGGCACCCCTGGGCATCTTTTCAGTATTGAACACACACACATCCCTAAAAATGAATGAGTAAATGTTATTTCTGTGGGTATATATCTAAAAAAAGGACAACATATTGTTTTATTTTAAAGCTTTCATTTTTTACTCAATGTTTTTTAGATTCACATTCTATAGATATGGTTTATTCCTTTTAGAACTCTCTGTATGACATACCATCATATGAATATGACTTATTTATATCCCAATTAGTTATTCAATCTCACAGATTATTTCCAGTATTTTGCTATTTCAAACAATGCATGATATAGTCTCTGATGTCTTACTGCAATCAAGCCAATACAATAAAATTATTTCATGCATGTCAATTATTACATGTCATTTAAAATCAATGCTATACCATTTAGCTTATTTAGGAATACTGAATACTGAATCTATTGAAAAAACTAAACATTTTAGTATCTCAAACAGGTAATAAATCTCTAATGCTTAGAGTGGTGTGATCTAGTGTGAGGAGAAAAACAAAAATCTTGGACAAGATTTTTAACATTTCTGTGCCTCAGTTTACTCTCTTGTCAAATAGAATGATAGAAGACTGTTTTTTAATTCACCTGAGTGTTGTAATGAAAATAAAATTGTAAACCAGAAATTATTTTTTTCTGAAAAGGCAGTATCATTATATGTAAGAGGGAGCATTGTTTAAAAAAAAAATCCAAATAAAAAGTGTAACAAAAATATTTTTGAAGTTCAAAAGCCATATAAATATCTTAATGCTAGGAATAGCTACTCACAGTATTTGTGTTTTTTTGGTTGTATAGTGGCCAACATAATGAAAAATGGGAAATTTGGCTAATTTTACCTTTAATCCTTGAAATCATATGTGCCATGCCCATTCTGGAATATCAAAATCTCTTGATATTGACTGACTGATAGGAGTCAGGGCCTGTCATGTAGTTTCTGTACCCCCCCTTCCTCCGCCTCCCCCCCTCACCCCGTGTCAGGGGGATGAATACCATGTTTTTCTCTCACTAAATAAAAACAAGACTTAACAAAACCACTTTGTTTTGCCCAGCCTTCTTGAAAGAACTGTCAATAATTGCTTCCTTACCTCCCAGTCTCTCCTCAATCCACTCCATTTGGGCTTCTAAGTTCACCTCTCTACCAGCTCTGTTCTTGTTAAGGTCAACAATGACTACCAGGATGCTAAGTCCAATTATTTCTTCTCTAACCTATCTTACCTCTAAAATAACAATAGATGCATTTGTCCACTCTTTCCCTCATGAAACACTGTCCTCATATAAATCTTACTTTATTTCCTCAGGTACTCTGTTCTAATTTTTCTGCAGTAACTTTCTTCTGCTCAACCTTAAGCCGTCTGAATCCAAGGGTTAGGTCCTGGGTGTTCATCTCTGTACCTACAAGTCTCTCCACTGGCAGTGTATACAGTCCTATCTTCAAAAGGCATCTGTATGCCCCTGATTCTTCAATCTGCATCTATAACCCTAACCTTATCTCAGAACTCTACCCCAAAATCCAACTGTTTCCTTGGTTTCTATACCTGGATATCTAATAGGTATTTTAAATAAGTAACAACAAAAAAAATTAACTTTTGCTTTTACTCCACAACAAAACTGCTTCCTCTGCCCCACGCTCAGTTTTTGCCTATCTCAGTAAATGTTATAGCAGCTTTTTATGAAGTAAGCAAAAAAGACAGAAATCATCCTTGATTTCTCTTTGCCCCCCCCCAAATTAACTAAGGTCCTGACAATCCTACTGAAACCCAAATCTGTCCACTCCTCCTCATCTACACTCCCCTATTATGCTAAGTTCTTTCTCAAAATCTCTAATTTTGTACTTTTCCATTTTTTTGCCCCTGCCAATATAATTCTACAAAGAATGGTCTTTAAAAAAATTTTTGTATCATGTCATTTTCCTGATCAAGGCTCCCCAAAGATTTCCTATTACACTTAGAACAAAATCCAAACCCTGGTGTGGCTTACAGAACATCATGTCATCTGAGCCTGCATACCTTTCTGACATCTTGATACCATACCACCCCAGGCCTACTGGCCTTTTTTTCATTTCTAAAAAACACTCTTTTCCCCTCATTTTAGAGTCCTCCCACTTGTTATTCCCTCTGCCTGTAATGCTTTTCCCTTTATTTCTTTGCATGACTGATCCCTTTTTGTCATTCAGACTTCCTCTTACCCCTTCTCAAAGAGGCCTTCCATGGACACCCAACCAAAGCAACCAATCAGTCACAAACACATAACCCTACTTATTTCTTTACAGACACATCACTACCTGGTATTTTTATTTCTGTCTCTCCAACAAGCACATAAACTAACAGTTCTAATGCTTAATATATGGTAAACTTTTTTTTTTAATGTGAAAGGAAAGTGGTTTCAATATGATATATTAAATGCCTCAGGAGCCCTACAGAGGGAAAGATTCACTTTGCCTGGCAGAAAAGTTATCACAGGAAATAACATATAAGCTGGATCTTAACCATGTTTATTACATAGACTAGGGTAAGAGGAGTAAGTGGGTAGAGGAGAGGGAGGAGAGAGACTTGGGAGAAGAAACTGTATGAAAAGAGGGGAAGCAAGGGCATGGAATGTTCAGGGGTAATCAGTACCTCACTGAAGGCAATATGAAAAGCTGTGGCCTGAGATAAAAGGCAACAGAAAGGTTAAGGTCAGAATATCAAAAGTCTTACAAACCATGCCAGAGAGCTTATATTTTATCCAGGAGCCCACAGAAAATCATAGGATTTTTTATCAGATAGGATTTAAGTTTTAGAAATAAAACTCTGACAGCAATATGCAAGAATACAGGAATCTCAAATTCCTGAGGTCTCCAAGTTAAAAACAAATCAGAACAAAACACTAAAGTAGCATAAATACCACCATGTCTGTTCAAATGGTTTTTATTAGCCTATCAGCATTATTTCTGCATATTATTTACATAAAGTTTGTCATTTTAATCACGCAAATAAAATTTTAATGTTTGTTTGAATATTTGCCTACTAAACATACCTGGGTAATAAACTTTTTTCCCATCAGTCTTGTATACAACCATTGTGATAAATTCTCGATTATTTGCAAAATCATCCTGAAAGTACAAAGAATCCAATATAGTTAGGAAAATGGGCTCCAAATGCTCTTAGTAGGAAAAAAATTCTAATTTTAATAGCATTTCAGCTACTTAGTGCTGTAAAAACTGCTTTTCTGAATTAAACTCATTTCAATGGATCACCACATTGTATAAAGTAATACATTAGATAAGACTCTGAGGCTATTAAGATTATGGTTATGGTTTACAGAATCAGGCCTAAAGATTTAACATCTTCAAACCCCCTTCAGAGTATTTTAATGATAGTATTCTTAAGACCTACATAATCAAGCTCAAAACCCTGACAAGCATAAACTCACATTCTTCAAGATTTTAAGTATATAAATTTCCTTAGAGGCAAATACACATTTATGTAATACAACACTATCTTCACACCACCTATATAAATGAAACAGGCTGGTGACGAAATTACGTATCTTGTTCACAACGGTCTAATTATATTTTTTAAAGTTTCTGTATGGGACATGTAAGAAGGTACCTTGTCTGTTATGTGTCTACTAAGCAAAACCCAAACTGCAGCGCCCCCTTGTGGACACTGCACCTCCAGTTTGTACTGGGGGTTGTTGGCCAGACTATAGGCATCTTTCACAGGTCCTTGCTTAGCATCCCAAGTACTAAAAAAGAAAGCCAAGAAAGAAAACAGTAATTAAATTTCTCATTGAGCTAAAACAATTTTTAAAAGTTTTGTGTTTCTAATACAACTAGGTTATCAGGATTTTTGTTTTATTGCTTAAATAATTTTTGGGATAACCAAAACAGCATATAAAGAAAATAACTATCACATGGCAGTCATTTGCAGGAATGACAAAAAGAATGCTAATCTTCATAAGTTAATCCTTATATTTTACGTGATAAAAGTGGAGACTACTATAAAGCATATTCTGAAATATGCAAAAAAGTTACCTATGAATACATGTTGATTCTTTAAAAAGACCTGGATTCCAGCTCAAATAAATCACATCATAATACTGGCAGAGATCATCCCATGAAATCCAAAATATTCCTGAAAATTAGATGCCTGTTAATCCATACAATATCTTAATGACAAATGACTTCAATCAGTTAATACATTTCATATTACTAAAGCATATTAAAGATCGAATGGTATCAAAATTGAAAAGATGTATTTACCATTGTCTATTTTCTGAGCTGTTCGAGGATCAAAGTTTAAATATTTTTGTAACTCTGGGGTCCAGTTTTTTACATCATTTTCACTGTATCTTCCTTTCCAACGTAAATGACTCCAAGGATTTTTCAGCTGGATAAATCGCAGCCCCTATTAAGAAAAAAAAAAAAAGTTGCAAAACAGTTTTACCAAATTTTTATTAGTTATATCATGCATTTTTTAAGAGAGGTTGCATTTTGAATACTGATCAATACTTTTCCTTCCACATCAACTTACAATATTCTTTAATCAATATTTTCACTACATAACATATCTGATGCCTACCTATTCCCAAGAGCTGTCCATATGGTAGTCACTACCCACAGGTGGTAATTAAAATTAAAATTTTTTAAATAAAAAAATAAAAATCAGTTCCTTAGTCACACTAGCCATATTTCAAGTGTTCAAGGACCATGTATAGCTATTGGCTTATGCACTGCACAGACAATGAACACTTCCATCATAGTAGGAAGTTCTTTTTGACAGTGCTGCCTTAGAGCACCACGAATTTCCCACCCTTTCAAAGCCTACTCTGCTCTGGCCCCACTTTATTTTCCAGTACTCATACCCTTGGCTCTAATTTAGTCTTTTCTCTCATCATTCCCACAAATAATCCTTATTTACCCATGCTGTCCCCCTTTCCTGGAAAGCCCTCTCTCATCCACCCTCCTCCCTTAAGATCCTTTCAGATACTCCTTAGCTTTTTTCTCCATTGATTCTCTCAATGAAGACTGCAGCAGTGAAGAAGAGAAAAAAACATGGACTTTGGAGTCAGAAAGAAATGGGACCAAATGCCAGCTCTATTAATGTCTCCTAGAACCTGTTGTGAAGATTAAATAAATTAACATATCCAAAATATGCAAAATATTTAGTAATTAGTAATGGTCTTCTTTTAATTACTACTTCTTCTCTAAACTTTATAACATTAATATTCTATGTTACTTTAGTTTAAAACAATTTTCTGTCTTGTTTCCTACTTGTGCAAATGCATGAGTTTGTCTCCCCAATGAGACTGTAAACTTGAAATGGTAACACTACTGTCCTTTTTCAGAAGTCTTGACTGAGTTTATAAAACAGACTGTTAAGGTTATGTTAAGTAAGTGCTCAACAAATACTGGGTGTGTCTACAGAACTCATTACTTGAACTCAGAAAATCAAAAGAGCCTGTAAATCCAAAAGAATGTTTGTCTTATTTTAAGCAGTCAAATTAGGAAATTGTATTCCTTTTCTAATGATGTCAAACTATTTGGGGGACATTTTTGAAAGATACAGTCCTCAGCTATTTTAAATGTAGCAAAATGGCCTGGGAAAGATGTGATATCTGGGGACATTCATTTCTCTCAGGAATCTTCAAATTCCTTTTCTTAATTTCTTCTTATCACTTGTCCACTCTTGCCCCTGCCACACAGATATTTAACCGCCCCCCCCCACCCCATAAAACCTAGCTCTACATAAGTAGGATATCTGCCTCCTGATCCCAGGGTCCTGGGATGAGTCTGGCATTGGGTTCCATGCTCAGCAGGGAGCCTGTTTCTCCCTCTACCCCTCTCCCTGCTCATGCTCTCTTTTTCTCTCTCTGAAATAAATAAAACCTTTTCTTTTTAAAAGATTTCATTTATTTGACAGAGAGAGACACAGTAAGAGAGGGAACACAAGCAGGGGGAGTGGGAGAGGGAGAAGCAGGCTTCCCGCTGATCAGGGAGCCCGATGTGGGGCTCAATCCCAGGACCCTAGGATCATGACCTGAGCTGAAGGAAGACGCTTAATGACTGAGCCACCCAGGCGCCCCAATAAATAAAACCTTAAAAAAAAAAGTATATTCAGAACCCTAACACTTTTTAAAGAAGGGATATAAAGGAGAGATAATTGCTAAGCTCTTTTGGGGCAGGTCCCGGTCATCACTGACATTTTAAGGACGCTAAGAAGCAGCTGTAGATTTTGTTTGGAGACCCTGCAATTCAGAGGCCCCGAGTAGGGGAAAAAAATGTTAAGACTAAAAAAGGATCTCGTTTATGATAAAACATTCCATTTTCAAAATTATTTCCAAGGGGGAGCAAATGAAAAGACTTGGACAGATTCAAAAATCCCTTGGTAAGACATGTTGGACTTAGAGACAGCAGCTTGAAACTGAGATGTAGCTTCACAATAGACTATGGAACATAACCTCAAGGACACAACAAAATGACCCAAAGGACTGCTGAGACAAAAGTGCAAAGATATTAAAATACTCAAGCTGGTTAGAGACAAACAAAAAGGAAACATTTGTATTAATAAAATCTTATTAAGTGAAGAAATTCACAAACGTAGAAGATTGGCAATAGCTTTTGTCTAAGATTGGGTCTATCTGCACAACAGAGGTTCTAGAGATAAATGCCTAATGAGATAAATATTTTTGGAAATATTTTAAAATTCAAGTCAGGACTAAGGAACTGTCTCAAAATACAGACAGCAAAACTAAGATAAAAATGATGAACTAAACTAAAACGGCTGCTACCTGAAATTCTTTACTGACATTCAGCAAGCTTTTAAATGTTTTGTTTTCACATCAAACCACAGGTGCCTATTTCACTCATAAGTTATTTGTCTGGTTTCCTTTAAGCAATCACAACAAACGGACTTATTATTCAAAGTAAATGACACAATCTTCACAGAAAATTTCTTCAAATTCAAGCTTACTTCTATATTGACTTTCATTGTCTAAATTTAATTGTCTTGTTATTACCTCACTGTTGATCACCTACCAGGATTTTATTATTTTTTTTTTGAAGACTTTATTTGTCAAAGAAAGAGAGAGCACAAGCACAAGCAGGGGGAGGGGCAGAGGGAAAGGGAGAAGCAGGTTCCCTGCTGAGCAAGGAGCCTGATGTGGGACTCAATCCCAGGACCCGAGCCGAAGGCAGGTGCTTGACTGACTGAGCCACCCAGGCATCCTGATCACCTACAAGGATGTTTTAACAATAAAATAACATACACATAGTATTAAATAACAGCAAATGTTATGGCCAATGTTTTGACTCATGTTTGTGGAACACTCTAAAACACATTTCTACACCAAGCACAAATCTCTCAGCTTATTCAATTTCACATATGTTTTTATATTTTTTTTTTGCTTTAGGTAATAAATTTTTATGCTTTTAAAGGAAAACACTTTATTTTATACACAATGGTTAGGGATATAGTAGTGGCTGATTTAGAAAGCCTTGAGACTAGATAAATTGATGTTGCAGTAGGTCCCTACAAAGGCTTTCATACTTCATATAATTCCACATGCCATATAAGAAAATCAATCTAATTAATACACAGCAGAGCACTGTCATTGTTGATCGATCACTACTTCCTGCTGCAAGTTTAAGCAGGGGAAAGTGAACACATGGCTAGTTAAACTTTCCAGTGACTACACAGCTTAGGTACTCTCTATCATCAGGGATAAAGAATCCTCCCTTAACAATCTCTGTACTTTCTAATCCATAGAACAGATCTCTTTTTCATTTAAAAAGAGGTAATCAATAACCCAAGAAGTAATAAAGTCAACTATTTCAACATTTGAGCAGAGAAAGAATCTGAAATGTCTGAGAGCATGTGAGGGCTGCTAGGAAGAGAAACATTTGCAAATCCATTGGCATATTTCTTATTCATAGATATTCCCCTTTTTTTGTCCTTTCGTAAATATTTACTGAATGTCTACCATGCTCTAGAGTCTAATGCTATGACTACCCCCAACATCAGCAAATAGCTCAGAACCTAGAGGACTATGTGTTTACCTCAACAAATTTTGAGACAAATTTAATGACTTTAAAGAGGCAAAAGGCATTTCTGTTTTGTCATCAATCTCTGCTATCACTGCCATTACATTTCCCATCTTTTTATTTCATAATTTCTAATGGTCGAGGTCAAATTATTTAATGTAATAGGTAGAATGATTTTTAAAACTTCATCTGAACCTTGATGTGTCAGTATTCAAAAGCTATTATACTACTGATGAGCACTGAGTATTGTATGTAAGTGATGAATCACTGAATTCTACTCTAGAAACCAATATTGCACTGTACGTTAACTACCTAAAATTTAAATTAAACAAACAAAAAAAGGCCTATTACACTATTTGGGATCCTTGCAATGTCTTACAATCAGGTATGAGAAAGAAGAAAAATATGTGAAGCAAAACCTTGAACTCTCTAATATCCAAAACAGCATATGCATGTGTGGGAACCAGACCCCACTTCTCTCCTTCAGCTTCAGTCATCATTCCAGTTGATGCAGTGATGAGGACATCCCCTTTGTGAAACCTGGAATGACCCCAATAGACAAATAACTAAAAGAAAACATCATATTTATACCATCAGATCACACTATCTTTCCTTTAGTCTAACAGTTTACATGAAAATTTCCACAAATTTGACATCTTTTCTAAAGTGGGATATTCCCAACACTCCTTAGAGAACAAGAACTACGTTTCTTTTCACAACATATCAGATAAATTATTACACTGTCCCACCCTTCTCCAGTTTTAGAAAATTATAAGGTAGAAACTTACCAATGAAGGAAAGCAGATGCTAAGTTTTCAAATGATTTACAAATAAAGTTGAAGATGTCAAATACACTTTGTCAAATCTTTGAAATTTTCTAGTTTCACTACTGAATATGTATTACTGCACAATCTTCCCATCTCTACCTATGGATTATTCATTGAAGGCTTAAAAGCTATCTTCCTCTTTATATTCTCATACTTCTCTTTTTCTACTTTCCCTCAAAGTACGTACTTAAGAAGTATGAAACAATCTGCCTATATGACATATTCCAGATTCAAATGTTTTGGATTATTTATAATCTGGATTAATTGTCACTATCACTGAGGATGACTGAGGGCTGGCCATAGCAAGTACATAAAGTGAAGTCCATTTTCAAAACACAATTTCCTGGGGGTACCTAGCTGACTCAGTTGGTGGAGCACGTGACTCTTGATCTGGGGGTCATGGAGTTTGAGGCCCAAGTTAAGTGTAGATTATTTAAACAAACAAAAACAAAAATGAAAACAAATAAAACCAGAATTTCCCTAAATAACTAAAAATGCAGTCTCTGTATTATCTCTTCTAAGGCATGAATTTTTAAAAACTGCCTCTTTTACTATCAAAGAGAGAGAAAATGTTTACCTTTGATAAAGCATTCTGAAAGAATTATCCTTACTGAAAGTCTGGCTATCTGAATGCATAGCAATCCTTTCTGGTATCCACCCAGTCAGTGCATGAAGATCAATATTCTGCAACATAAACACATTTTCAGGACTGTCAATATTGTTTCCAAGCTCTTTAATAAATCCCCATGGTAGCTATTAAATATCATTGATTGTTTCTGACCAGTAATATATTTCTTATTTAACTCAAATTCCTACCCAGATTTAAGCACAAGTGTATTCCTTATAATCTCTGTTGTTTTTCCTGAATGCAACAACTGTCCAACTGGTAAAAACAATGAAAACTAAAAACTAAAAACATGTTACAGATAAAAGCTGCTTTAATAATGCACTGACAGTCACTCACCATTTAGTGAGTTCTTAGGACAGCCACTTTTCTAAAGTCTTACATATATTCTCATTCTTTCTCTCTCTACGCTACACTGGGTAAATTAAAAGGCACTGAATTAGAAACTAAACTATAAACATATTTGGAGAACAGAACAATTGAGCATGTAGGCCAAGAAGAAATTTTAATATCCTATTACATTTAAGTATGACCTATACATTCTTTGCCTAGCCTTATAAGAACCAGGAGTGTGAAGAAAGCCTGGTACTAGGTGGGAAACTAATCAGCTATGAAGGATGGATAACGTGCACACATTACTTCATTTAATCTTTCCAACTCTGAAAGGTGGGTATTATCCTCATATTACAGACAAGCAAAGATGCTAGGAATGGTTACATACCTTTTCTAAGGCCACAGGCTGGTTAGTGTCCTAATTCAAAGTTATACTAATCTAATTTCTGGCATAAGCTCAGTCTACCTCATCCAACTAAAGGACACTGGCACACACCTTGATTTTGTAGGTTAAGCAGTGTTAAAACTGGGAAAAACTAAAAAAACAAACTCCTTGAACCTGAATTTATAATCCAAAGAACACACATAAGGATGACAATATGACATATCCCTTTGATCTGAAGAGACTTCTTTGGAAAGGTATGCTGTATCTAATTGGTCTTGTATCTCAACATGACAGCAGACTTGCATTTTAGGCTTCCCTGAATCCTTTAAAAATGCAGTATCCTTGTGAAAGAAAATAGTTTTCCTTAATAAGGTGATTGATTAACATTTTTCAGAGGTTCAGACTCTGTTTCATTTTCCTTTAAATAAAAATATCATCTATAATCGCTCAAATTTAAGATAGTCATATTAGATAGCATAAGTCTGTGTCTGGATCCTCCTGATACTTACCGAATTGGATCCTGGGAAATCATATCCTCCCATGACCTTCATATATGCTTTTTCTATGAGAGAAACCCATAATTCACTTTTGTTGTTAGAATAAGAACAAAGCAATTCTCCCTTATGATCAACAGGTAATTGGTCATCAATGATCACCTGGAGAAAGAGAACATTAATTTCCTTAGGTGGTACAAAATATCTTAAAACCCTTTCTATCAAGGAAAAAAAAAACCCTTTCAAATAAATGAAATAAAAGACATAATATGCCCATTATTAAAGTAATGATAGCTTCATATTTCTAGAATCTGCTCAATTTATAAAAATTATAAAATTATAAAAAATGTCTTTATTCCATTTTATAGGCTAACCTCCCTGTCATGTGATAACCTTGGGCCAACTGGTTAAATGGATCTATATCATCAAAATTATTACAGATTCTAGAAATGTACATTTTATCTAAAGTAATTATTAAAGGGCCTCACTATTAAGGTAAATAATATTACTACATGTAATTTTAACCTAAACCTGCAAAAAGACTCATGTTATGTACAGTTGTAAACGTAAAACATTATGGCCAAAAGATATATTTAAGTAATACAGGAAGTGATCACCACAAAGATACAGTTTCTAAGTCACAATAGAAAGTGATTTGGGAAATAAGAATAGGAAAAATTCTGATCTAACACTAACAAGAGGATTATGCAACTACATTTTCAAAGATTCTTTAAACAATGGGTTAAAGACTACAGAAAAAATCATTCTCAGTGATTCTGCTTAATTTTTAAGTAATCATCTAGAGCAGCGGTTCTCACAGGGTTTTCTTAGCAGCACCGGCATCATCTGGGAACTTGTCAGAAATGCAAATTGTGGTCCCACCTCACAAACTGAGGGGTGCAGGACGCAATTTGTGTTTAATTAAGCCCTCCATGTGATTTTATACATACCAAAATTTGAGTGTTACTGAGCCACTGAGCAACTTCTCAGACTGAAAGCATCAGGGGATTTGTTTAAATATAGATTCTGATTCAGTAGGTTCAGGAAGGCGTTAAATTTTGCAATTCTAACAAGTTCTCAGATAAATGCTAATGTTGATCCATGGACCTGAGTAGATAAGAGCTAGAGAATCCCAACAATGCCAGGCCATTACATAAGTTCATAGTTCTTAAAGAAAGCAGTATAATTTCAGGCTGTATATATTTCACAAAAGAAAACATAATTTGAAAGATTTCTTAGGTTTGAGGTTATGACTATATATATAAACTCTTGTGACCTTATAGTTTGCCCAATTTCCTTTCCCTTTTAATCAATTAAGAACTATCAGATTAAAGTTTAAGCATTAGTAATCATTAGTTCAATGTTACTTTTTGAAACTTTCTATAAATTTCCCAAAATCATTTTTAAAAAGACTTTAACTTTTATTTTTAATTATTAACATACGATGTTACTGGTAGCAATATGCATAACACCAGACTCAAACTCTTTAAAGGTTACACAAATAACATTTCTTAATGATTCTACTCAATATTCAAAGGTGGGGAAGGAGAGAGAGAAGGGGTTGGGGTGGGGAGAGGTATTATTCACCTTTCTTGGGACACCATTGAGGTGAAGTTTTACCATATACTTTCCACATGGATTGTATTCTGGCTCACCATCCTTATTCTGAGGGTAAATTATGCTTTTGTAAGGAAAATAAATATTGAAATACCAAATTAATATTCAATATAAACTACTATGCAGGATATTATATTTTCTTTAGACATATGCTATTGTCTTGGCAATTTTATAAAAACAAACAGAATATTTTTCTGTGATAGGCTTAGGAAAAGAATTTCACCCTAATCAAAGTGCTTATTTAATATAAAGAAAATATCTTATGAGATCATAGAGCAGGGCACAAATTTCACAATACTCTGAAAAATACTAAGTTTTTAATTATAAACTCTAATAAATTTTCTAATAAGTGGATATATTTTATGCCAGTTGAAATAATCTTCTCTCACTGGCTCAAGAAGTGACCATTTCAATTAACAAGAACTAAGGCAATTAACTACAACTCTGACAAGAGATAAAGTTAACACAATTCTGATAAAGCTACACAAAATTATCTAGTAAGACATTTTTATCAGTATCAATTATTTTTACACTATATATTATGTACTTATATAATCTATTTATCCAAAATGGCAAATAGCTTAAAACTAAGGTCTGTGTTTAATTTATCTTTGTGATCTCAGGATTTACACAAAAACCACTAAGGAAAAGATGCATGAAATATTATAATGCTTAATTTGTATAATAAATGATCTTTAGCTAATAAAACTAAAAAATTGAGAGGAAAAACTATTTCAGTAACATTTCAGCACATTCTAAAGCAGTTTTAGCCAAAAGAAATATTTTCTATTTTCCAGGTGCCATATTATAAGTTAAAAAGGTGACATTTTAATATATTTTATTTAACCAAACTTATCCAAAATATTATTTCAGTGTGTAATCACTATAAAAATTTGAGGTATCTTACAATTTTATATTTTTTTGGGCTTAGTTTTCAAAATCTGATGCATTTTACATTTACAGCTCATTTTGATTCAGACTAGCCCTTTTTAAGTATACTATATCCACATGAGGCTAGTGGCTACCATATAGCATAATATAATTATAAATATGATATGATTTTACTTTGACCAATTTTATTTCAAAACATACCTATTTCATATATATTAACACATGTATATACATTCTTAAGACTATTTTATGAAATCTTTCCACATTCACAAGTCATCTGTTTAACATATAGGGCCACAATATTCTTAAGTGATATGCCCTCTTCATTTTCTATGCAGATAAAACCAAAGCTGTTAACTTCTAGTCAAGAAACAATTATAGGAAAAGGGCTAAAGGGACAAATACAAAATTTTACCTGGTAATCAACTTCTTATTAAATCGTCTTTCATAAGCTGCACTGATAGCGAGTGATGCCACAAAGGAACAATCTGATACTATTGTCTGTTAATAAGAATGTGTTAATTAACTAATTAATTCATGCAATTTCAACATTACAACAATATTTAAGCACTACACCTATGCCGCCTACTTTTTATACTGACTTAATTGCTGCTTGAATACCAAAATGAACAGAAAATCTATATTGCAAACTCATACATATTTTCTTCAAATAAATTCCAGAAAAATTGAGTAAAATACTTCAATAAAGTTAATTTAGAATAAATATGATGTATTTCTTACATGGATAAAAGCATACTCACTGAACCCACAAGTTTTTAACGATAATTTAAAGGCATTTTTAAAAAAGTTTATTATAATATGACCAACTAAACTGAATATGCACATCAAAAGATTCTTGAATCATAGTATTTCAGGACCATTACTTTTTCATTTTTTTAGGATTGTATTTACTTATTAGAGAGAGACAGTGAGCACAAGCAGGGCTGGGGGGTGGGCAGAAGACTTCCCAGACTTCTTCTGGGAGGGGCAGAGGAAGAAACAGACTCCCCACTGAGCAGGGACCCCAAAGTGATCCCAGGACCCTGAGATCATGACCTGAGCAGAAGGCAGGTGCTTAACTGATGAGCCACCCAGGTACCCCAGGACCATTGTTTTTATACTAACTGGAAGACATCTGTACGTCGATGCAAAACTTAACTGAATAAAGTTTGCAATAAAGCCATATTGTTGTTACACCATTGAAGTTTTTTGAATAAGCTTAATATCTTTCTTTTTAAAAAATATCTGTTTCTCGGGGTGCCTGGGTGGCTCAGTGGGTTAGGCCTCCGACTCTTGATTTCAGCTCAGGTCATGAGACCAAGCCCCGTCTTGGGCTCCATGCTCAGCATGGAGTCTGCATGAAATACTCTCTCCCCCTATCCCTCCCTCTCCTCTCCCACTTGTGTTTGCTCTCTCCCAAATAAAATCTTAAAAAAAAAACCTATTCTCTTATTAAGGTAAGGCTAAGATCCTCAACTTTCTCATCTGCAAAAATATACTGATAAAAAGGGTCTATATAAAAATCTGCAATTCCTCAAATCAGTTATTCATACTCATTATCTCAGTATGCAAAGTGTGCAGAATTTTTCCAATTATACTAATGCATCTTGATACATAATAAAAACTAAGAAAACCCCCAAATCTATATTCAAATTACTTCAAAATGTTAGCTTTCATATAAAAGCATATAAAATGTTTACCTGCTTTATGCTAAAACTGGACACAGTATAAATCATTGTAGGATTGTTGGTGAGGTCTTCTGGTCGTACCCATTTGGAAAATGTAGCTTTTTGTTTAGGTGATAATGGTAGCTTGCCCCATCTATCACTGAGGTAATAATAAAAATTAAATACTACTACTACTAAAATTAATCTTTAAAAATGACACAAAACAAAATTAAATTCCCTAGAGATTTATTCATTTATTTTTTTGGTATAATGATCATAGCTATTGTATCATCCTAAAATAATGCTCTGGTAAAATCTGGCTCTTTACACTTCACCATGAATCCAGTCAATGTGCTCATTCTTCTCAATTAGAAAAATATAAATTTATTATTGCAAACAGGAAAGAAACTTAAATTCACTCATATTTACTTTAAGAATATACTTTAAAAGTTTACATTAGCATATTTAAGAAATTCAGTTTCAGTAAAATGGAACCATTAACAATAATAAAAGCTGATTCAATTCAAAAGGACCTAGGAAGCTATAGATCCTTATGATGGGTCTTGATAAACTCTTTTCTGCAAGGCTAATAATGAGAGTAGCTAATTGCTGATTAATAGCCATGTGCCAGATATCATGCTAAAGTATTTTATATACACTGTTCATTTAAACTTTAAGACAACTCCATTAAAGCAAATATTTCTGGAAAAGGCTTAAAAGTGATTTAATAACTTGCCAAGGTCACATAGCCAAAAAGTGGCAGAACTGGCATTTGAATCCAGGTCTAGGGTGCCAGATCCACCATTCTTATCCATTACCCTCTGACTGTGTGTTGGGAATATGCTGTGTGGTATTTCTCGAAGACTGATATATAGCACAAGATAAAAAACATCTACCTTTCCTCAAACCTCTTCTAGAACAAGGGTAATAGTCTTGAGATTTTATAAGATTTCTAGGGTAATACAAAGTTTATGACAAGCAAACTGAAGCAAATATAACATTTTTAAAAATTTTATTTATTTATTTGACAGAGAGAGATCACAAGTAGACAGAGAGGCAGGTGGCCGGGGCTGGGGGGAGGGGGAGCAGGCTCCCTGCTGAGCAGAGAGCCTGATGCTGGGCTCCATCCCAGGACCCTGAGATCATGACCTGAGCTGAAGGCAGAGGTTTAACCCACTGAACTACCCAGGTGCCCCTATAATATGGTTTTAAAAAAAATACAGACACTAGGAGAAAGGTGGTTTTGTGGTCAGGTGTTATCTACAAACTCCTACACATTGTTTTCTTCATTAGAGGACATCTGTAAATGTTTAATAAACCAAGATTTATGTAAATTTCTTAGACTATTAAAATAACACTTCTCAAACTTTCTGATGATCATTTCATAGAACCACTAGTGTTCTGGTGTCATTTTGGTACCTGTTTAGGAAGAGTAGCTGACTAAATAGAAAGTAAGTTGAATGAATTCAGAAGAATTTAAATTTTAAAAAATTTTAGAGAAATTATATATAAAGTCAATTCAAATCTATAATTATATTGTATTATTAACCTACTGTATAAGAATACAGATTCTTTAATATCTATTCTCTCAAAAGTTACCACTAAGTTATCAAATTCAGTGTTTTCTTATAACTTTAAAGATATTCAAAATATTTTATAAATATAATTTATATTCACTTTAGGATTTAAAAATGACCCGAATAGAAAAAAAAAAGGTTTAAAAATTACTCAATCTTTCTCACCAAAGATTCATAAATTGTGGAGTCCTTTTTTATCAGTCTGTTACCTTTGAGTTTTGAAATATTTACTGTTACTTTTTCTTCTGATTATTCTACTGTAAAATAATCTAGAAAAACAAGAATGGAAAAATCTTGCTAGAGTAATCTAGTATTTATTCTTGATTTTTCTCCAAATTTACTTAATTCAGCAAGTACTTACTGAGTACCTACTAGGTGCCAGACACTGCACTATGCACTGGAGCATAATTAAAACAGACATGTTCTATGCCCTTATGAAACATAATCCAGTGTGGAGGACTGGCACTAAGTAATCTTATATAAAACATATGAAATTCCAATTGTCACCAGTGCTATGCCTAAATTAAAGGAGTTTGCATGGCATCGTATTTTACTGTTTGATTATATTGTAAGCATTTTCCCATGTTATTCAATTTCTCAAAAACTCGATTGTTCATGGCAGTATAGTATTATTCTTATAGGTGTTTTGTTGTACGAGAACTAAAAACACGATTTATCTTAATTTATTATACAAAGATTAGAACTACAAGTTTATATCCCTACTTGGATATAACCATTCAAGAATGTATTATTCTAACACATTCACACTTTCACAATTACAATATTGTAATTTTACAATTATAATTGTAATACACTGTAAATACAATTGTATTGTAAATACAATTACAATACATATTGTAGTATTACAATATTGATGACTACCTTCTATATATAAATCTTTGACTACATCTACGAACATTTTTTCAAATTGGTCTCCTGAAGTGAAATTACTGGTCAAAGGGATAAACTTTTTGTTTGCTTGTTTGTTTAAACATTTTTTCTTTCATTTCTTGTATTTATAGATAAATAGAAAAAATGACGTAAAAAATGACGTATTTATAGATAAATAGAAAAAATGACGTATAGATAAATAGAAAAAATGACACATCAGATATTTACAGTGGTTGTCTCCAGATAGCCAAACTGGGCGATTTTAACTTTTTTTTTTTAATAGATTTTATTTATTTATTTGACAGAGAGAAAGAGATCACAAGTAGGCAGAGAGGCAGGTAGAGAGAGAGGGGGAAGCAGGATCTCTCCACTGAGCAGAGAGCCTGATGTGGGGCTTGATCCTAAGACCCTGAGATCATGACCTGAGCCGAAGGCAGAGGCTTAACCCACTGAGCCACCCAGGCGCTCCTTAACTTTTTAAAATATTTCAAAACTTTTGCAATGAGCATGTTCTATTTATTAGAAAAAAAAATCAGAGTTGATATTACATACCAATTGTATAAAAGGCTCTGTAAAGAACAAAAGGGAAAAGTATCTGAAATGTACAAACTTTGTAATATAATTTAGAATTTAACAAGATAATTATTTCTTTAGTTAACACTTATTATATAACAATATAACAAGCACTACTAAGTGCTTTATATATTTTTTTTAAAGATTTCATTTATTTATTTAACAGAGATCACAAGTAGACCGGGGGGTGGGGAGAGGGAAGCAGTCTCCCTGCTGAGCAGAGAGCCGGATGTGGGGCTCAATCCCAGGACCCCAGGATCATGACCTGAGCTGAAGGCAGAGGCTTTAACCCACTGAGCTACCCAGGTGCCCCTAACTGCTTTATATTTTATTAGTTAATTTAATAGCATTAACACCATGAGGTAGATTGTATTCTTATTTTAAAATCTGAGACAGATTTAATAACTTGCCCCGCATCATACAGCTTACAAAACTGGACAGTTCAGCTCTAGAATCTGTGCCCTTAGTATTGATCAATGCTATTGAGCTCCTCTGATATAAAAATTTCTTAGACTCCAATCAGTGACTAGCATCACATCATTGCCTGGGTGAAAAAAATTAGGTTGACAACTCACTGGCTAGATGTCCAACTTTTGCTCATCTAAGAATAGCAAAACACTAGAAAATGGGAAAGCAGCTCTTTTGTTCTTTACAGAACCTTTTATACAATTGGTATGTAATAAATATCAACTCTGAATTTTTTCTAATAAATAGAACATGCTCACTGCTAAAGTTTTGAAATATTTTAAAAAGTTAAATCACCCAGTTCTGCTATCTAGAGACAATCACTGTAAATATCTGATATGTACCTTTACATCATTTTTTCTATTTATCTATAAACATAAGAAATGAAAGAAAAATAAACATGTAACATCCAAATTTTCTTAGATTTACTATATTGAAAGCATTTTCCCTACATCTTTCAAAGATGTTTTTATTCGTAGCATACACACTTACTATAATATAGATGTGCCTTTATTTATTTATTCTCATACTGTTGGCTATTTAGTTTGTTTCATTCATTCATTTCATTCATTGATGAATGCCCTTATTATGCACATCTTTAGTCAAATTTTTATTTCCTTAGAATTAGTAGATGCTGGGAGTCATGAACCAAGTAACATTTTTAAGGCTCTTCACCCCCCCCCAAAGATTTTACTTATTTATTTGACAGACAGAGAGATCACAAGTAGGCAGAGAGGCAGGCAGAGAGAGAGGGAGAAGCAGGCTCCATGCTGAGCAGAGAGCCCGATGTAGGGCTGGATCCTAGGACCCTGGGATCATGACCTGAGCTGAAGGTAGAGGCTTAACCCACTGAGTCACCCAGGCACCCCCATTTTTAAGGCTCCTAACACAAGTTGCCACTGTCCTGGAAGGCTGTGCTAACCAACATTTTTCATAATTAACCCTTTTCTGAACTGGACTTTTTAAAGTAAATAATGACACCGTTATCATTCTATTCCACTTTTCCATTCAAGTCTTTCTTTACTGATTTTGCTGTTGTGATTCAAATACCGATTCAACAAATATTTACTTTGTGCCAGGTACTGTGCTAGCTAGTGTAATGGTAGGCAAAAGAAGATCCATATGTGCCCATTACCAGGCAAATGACCACACAGATACTCTTGCTATGTTGCCTTACGTTTTCCCCATAGCTGTACCTCTTCCAAACTCTTTTATTACAAATTTTGATTTCAAGGCTATGAGCTAAATTGGATTTCAGAGTATGGAAAAACTACTGAAAAATCAGAATCATCTTGGAAGTAAAAAGTACAATATTGCTTACTTACCAGAAAGGCATTGGATAGGCAAAACGTTCCCTCAGATCAATACTCATGAAAGGAACATATTCTATACCATTTATTTTTGATGTTGTCCTATAAAATACAAGGAAAAAAACCTAAAGTAAATATCTAAGTTTACCTTAACTACCAATCTTATCTGAAATTTATATGACAAAGTATGGCACTATAATAACATTGACAATCTCATGTTGTTGATATCTTTATTTGAATAAAATTTTCACAAAATTAGTTGAATACCAAAAAATAAACAACTCAATTCAATTCAGTAAGACTTAGTCTCAAGGTTTACATCCTTTACAACTAAACTATGGTCTCAAGATAAGCCTGTACTATAGGTATTGAGAGTATCCTTGACACCAAGACACAAAATGAATTCTATCCTAAGCTCAAAGGGAGAAAGCAATTGCTTTAGTTACTTTGGGATTTAAAAAAACATGACAATTACAATTCTGAAAAATATGTTCTTCCTATTTTCTGGTTATGAAAATGAGGAATGTGTAGTGCAAGAAGGAAGCTATAGCCACATGACAAATTAAAGAAATGTGGCTTATAGTAGCTTTGCATGTTTTACATGTATGTTCAGTAGTACGTATCAACTCTTTCCTTCTGCTTCTTTCCCTCATTTTATTTAGAAGTAGTTACAGGGTAGTTTCACGATTTAGCCTTTAGGTAACAATATTCAGTGAGACCGTGACTGACTTTGAGAACTAATTAATACAGTGAGCAACAGATACAATGACTGTGTATCCTTATTTTTGAGAGGATGAAAACTTTTCACCTGTATGAAGGACAGATGAATTCTGTTAGGTAGAAATATTATTGTTTTGTTGCAGCATGAAATTCAAATGTGTGTAGAAAGGAGCACATGGATGCTAAGTAGCCTCAGTGTTAGACTGGTACTGTCTCTGAGCCCCAAAACCTACCCGTCTTTGCCTTGCTGTGTGTTGTGGGGGGGTTCATATGCAATTTTTCCAGGCAAAATGTCACACATTAGAAGAATTAAAATCTTCAGTAGGGAAAAAAAAAAAAATGCCTTCAGGTGACTGCTACAAACGAAGGAACCCTTTCAGCACAATTTTAGGAAATTAAAAGTGAGCAACTACATGACTTGCACAGCACTAAGCAGCTTGGATCTCCTCCAACTGAAGAGCAGCCACACTGGCTCAGAGATACATCCCATCTACACTGGCTCAGAATGCAATCAAGAGGATTTCCTCGTGTTTGTTGTTTGCATTTATAACATACCCTGAGGCTGCTTCTAGACCCCGAGTTAGCAAATTTTTTTTATAAAGGACCAGACAGTACATTGCTTTGGCTTTGCAATGAGGTCTTTGTCACCTATTCTTCTGTTTTTTGTTTGTTTTCTTTTTTATAATCCTTTAAAGAAATGTAAAAACTAGTCAAAACTTCAGGCTTCCCTTTGCTGACCCAGGCCCACACTATTTCAAGGTTAACAGTTTTCTCCCCGTCAGGGCTCTGGTTACCAGCTACAGAGATGATAAGTGGTCCACCATAGCTCTGTTCTGCTGTTTGACCTTTAGTGTTCAATTTTATTATTTTTTTTTTTTTAAAGATTTTATTTATTTATTTGACAGAGAGAGAGATCACAAGTAGATGGAGAGGCAGGCAGAGAGAGAGAGAGAGAGAGGGAAGCAGGCTCCCTGCTGAGCAGAGAGCCCGATGCGGGACTCGATCCCAGGACCCTGAGATCATGACCTGAGCCGAAGGCAGCGGCTTAACCCACTGAGCCACCCAGGCGCCCTAGTGTTCAATTTTAAAGTATGCCAGAATTTTTGGGAAAACACATGTCTGGTAGAAATGCTAATATTAAAATATACCATAACACATTTTAACTACGTCACGTTAAGGCTATATGAAATGTAATTTTTAATTTCATAATAAAAGCACAACACACTATGTAACAAAGATATTACAACTCAGCAAACCTAATGAAAATAAAATTGCCTGCACTGACTACGTTAACAAAATTATTCATTACAATGAATCATAAAATTATTTACCTGAGAACTTCTATTTCTTCTGCTGTATATCTCTGTCCTTGTGCATCACATGACTGTGGACTTATAAAGGGTTGAGGTCTTTCCAGGAAAGGACTAGTCCCTAGAGGAAAATGTGCTCTCATTGGAGGTGGCTTTGGTTTGATATTTGTTGACTTGATTTTGCATAATGGTTTTGTTAAAGGCTCACTCAATGCTTCTGCTCTGTAACAGAAAGAGGTACAGAAAAACTGTTCTAGTTTTTCTTCTCACATTTAAGCTTTCCAGAAAATAAAACTTATTTCAAGAACCAGTCAAGCACTCCTAATGTAAAATTAGTATAGAAGATTCATACATATCAATCAGCAGTTCACTTCTTAAGCTACTTCCAAAAATAAGTATTTCACAACTGATCTACAGTAATTGATAATATTGCTGCTAACATTAATTCAGCACAAACTGCATGTCAGGAACTATGCAAGGTAAGGGGATACAAGAAAGTATAAAATGCAATCTCTGCTCTTAAAGTGTTCACAGTTTTGAGGGGGAAAGAAAGACAACTGCATCTAAAGTGATAGATGCCAGATGTGAGTGACCATACAGGCAGATGGTATTAACTTAATGACCAAGAAAAGAGAGTCAGGGGAGGTTATTCTGAATCGATGTTTGAGCTGCAGAGAAGTCCATCTGGGGAGTAAGGGAGCATTCTAAGTAGAGAAGAGCATGTGCAGAAGTATGAAACAGCATAGTGAGTTAAGATAACTTAAAAAAAAAAAAAAAATGGATGAAGGCCCTATGAAAAGTACAAACAAGAGGCAGAAGGAGAGGAGACCAGGGAAAAAAGTTGATCATGGAATGTCTCACATGATATTCAAGGGGATTTTGGCTTTGTTTTGTCAAGGGTTCAGTGAGCTAAAAAACACAAGTTCTTAACTTGAGGTCCACATATGAGCTCCAGGAATCTTGTGAACACTTTTGAAATTACATAAAATGCACCCAAAAGGAATTTTATGTACATTTCTCCTAGAAAGACGACCCATAATTTTGAACAGACCCTCAGAGGAGCCAATGACTGACCCACCCCTCTGTGTTAAGTAAGGATGCACTAAGAGGCTACTGGATGGGCTATCCACATAGGTAATAAACATCACCTCTGAATCTGACTAGTGAAAAAAGTGAAAATGGACATGATAACTATGTGTCAAGTGCCCATATCCTCATGAATCTGGAGAGACAAACTAAATGTTAGATGACAATGAAAAGGAAGGATGACTGTTAAACCTCAATTAAAAAAAAAAAAGGACTAGAGATGGTACAGTTACCAGGTCAGACCCTCAAAAGGAGGTAATTTTATTAATTCACACTATAACTAAAAATGCAATTTCTATCTTTTTCCTTCATATGTAACACCCCTTACGAGGTGTAATTCTCTTGTGCAAATCTGTTCATTCTCAAATACCTACTGAACACATACGGTATGTCTGGCACTCTGCTAGGTGGTTACAGCATTGACCAAAACAGACAAACTTCTCTGCACTCACAGAGTTTACACGAAGGGTTGGGGGTTCAAAGGGACACAGACATTAATAACAAACATGATAAACTGGTAACTTTCATATACCTTAGAAAGTGGTTAAGAGCTTTGGGAAAGAATATTAGAATGGATTAATAGAAGGAAACTATTAATAGAAGGAAACTACTGGAGGAGATTCCATTTTAAATAAAATGTTTAGGGTAGGCTTTTTTGAAAAGTTGACGATTTGACCAAAGAGTTGAAGGAGCTACATACACTGTATAGTTTGGGGTATGAGAATGGTTAAAGGCCAGCTCACTCTCAATTTCTCTACTTTTAATAGTAGCTCTGGAAGGCTTTTTGGAAGTTCTCCCCAGAAATCTGGTATTACACAACAGAAGGAAGTCTTCCACTTCAAATATAATCATTGCTTTACACATAGCAAAAACTAAATAAAACAGATCTTGGCTGATCTGTTATTTCTTGAGTTTAAAATAGGGAGCCAGAGAGGAATAAATTCACCCAGAGGAAGAAGGTAGACTTGCTCTAGATCTCAGCTTGGAGATGGAGGTTTGTCACTATGAACTCTATGACATATTTAGAGAAATCTGTCAAATTTAAGTAACACAGTACACTGCTATCCATGGATAAGAACTTGAGTGACCAAAACTCACCTATCTAGTGCCTGTCGAGCCAACTGTTTCAGTTTATTTTGCAGAGTTTTATCAGCAGTTTCATAAGACTTAAGAGAAAGAGAGACAGACATTCTGAAGCATAATTCTTTTCTTTGCTTGATCCATATTTCTAACAAAAAACTTATAATGCAATGTATTTCTTCAAATAATGAGAGAATAAACAAAGATGACAATTTGTTTTCATCCTTAAAGGTATATTTAAAATAGTGTTGAAAACTTGTCATTGAGGTAAACCTGAAGACCACTTCATGTGATAAATGAACTACAATTTTAAGAACATGGTGCGATGGAAAAGCTGAGCAGCAGGAAACTGAGGAGACTAGCACTTACCTCAAACACTCAGACCAGATGGTTGAACAAAAAGGTAGTCCTCTGACAATACTGAGAACACCACTCTCTATCATTCCACCTCTCATTCCTGTCAAATGCACTGCTCTTATGCACTAGATGCCCCTAAACTTAGCTGTTCCAACCAGGGTCCTCAGGAAGCAGTAAAAGCCACTCAGCACATAGATTTCACACTGCAAATGAATAAAGCTCTCCCAAACCACTACCTTGTTTTTTTTTCCCCCACTACCTTATTTTTAAATGTAAGAAATTTTTTAAAAAGGGGAAGGTTTATTCTAAATTCATAGATTTGTGATGAATTCCTCCTGTGATAATTTTAGGTATATGGGTTTAAACAGGTTAAAAAAAATAATACAATATAAATAAATAATAATATAATATAAATAAATAATATAAATAATACAATATAAATAAATAAAATATATATAAATAAAAATATAATTTAAAAAAACCACTGCCTAATGACTCAATATTACTACTGTTAATTTTTTAAGGGATTAAGATCCATCATTAGTTTTCTATTCTTCATCATCTTTTAATGAAGAGTAACTTATATTTATGATACGATAATTATTTTTCTTTAAGGAATCGTTAAATAAAAATCACTAGTAAGAGAAATTTCTTAGCATAATTCCACCAAATTTAACTATTAGCTATACATACGGTTTTCAGACAGAGATCTACGGCTTCAGTATACAATTCTATAGCATCTTCAACATTCCCTTTTTCATCTTCATCAAAAGCTTGCGTAACAAGGAAATGAGCACGTTCTAAGTCCAACTGATGTTTTGATTTCAAAGGATCAGCACTCTTTGACTGAACTAGGATGGAAGAAAGCCATATAGATATTAACTATATATGTATTTTTATACCCAGGAAACAAGAGACAATTTTAATACATTTAAGACGCTCTTTATAAAAACTTCGTAATCCTTAAAAAATGACTCTCTCCTTTCAATCTGAATTTTAAGGCCTAAAAAAGAGTCCCCACTTGTTCAACTCATCACACAATGCACATAAGAGACCAAAATACCAAAAATGTATTATTAATTAAAAAAAAATTAATTAATCAATTAAAACATTTCCCCTGAATTTCTCTCTCCTTACCAGCACCTTCTTCCTTTAAAAAAATAGAACACCAGTCCTCCTCTTTACATACCCACTCCCAAAAACAAAACAAAAAAAACTTAAAAAATCTTAAGCCTAAAGAAACTCAATTATGTTTTAAGGTAATTAAAAATTTTTTTTCAGTACAGACAATTGTGTAATACAATATTCTAGGCCCTAATGATAAAGTTCCTGCTGTTTCCTATTCATCTGAGTCTAGATTAAATAATCACATATATTTACTGTGATTATTTGAAATAAGTATTTGTTTTCAATATAAAGGTATATATCAACAAGGAACCTATATCAAGAATATACAAAGATCTCGAATGGATAAAAAAGATGTAGTATATATATACAATGGAATACTATGCAGCCATCAAAAGAAATGAAATCTTGCCATTTGCAACAACATGGATGGAACTAGAGGGTATGCTTAGCGAAATAAGTCAATCGGATAAAGACAACTATCATATGATCTCCCTGATATGAGGAAGTGGAGATGCAATGTGGGGGGTTTGGGGGATAGGAAAAGAATAAATGAAACAAGATGGGATTGGGAGGGAGACAAACCATAAGAGACTCTTAATCTCGAAGAACAAACTGAGGGTTGCTTGGGGGAGAGGGGTTGGGAGAGGGTGGTGGGGTTATGGACATTGTGAGGGGGGTATGCTGTGGTGAGTGCTATGAAGTATGTAAACCTGGTGATTCACAGACCTGTACTCCGGGGCTAAAAATACATTATGTTTATTAAAAAAAAAAGAATATACAAAGATCTCTTACAACTAAACAATAAAAAGACAATTCCAGTTTTGAAAATGAACGTGGTGAATAATCGTATCAACTTGTGTCAACTTTATTAGGTACCCAGATACTTGGCTAGCCATGATTTCTAGGTATGTCTAAGAGAGTGATTCTGGGGGTGCCTGGGTGGCTCAACCAGAGAAAGGAATGAAGTATTGATACCTACTACAACATGGATAAATCTTGAAAATATTGTGTTAAATGAAAAAAGCAAACACCAAAGGCCACGAATTAGATGATTCTATTTACATGAAATGTCCAGAATAGGCAACTCTAGGGAGACAGAAAATAGGTTAGTGGCTGTTAAGACGATAGAGGGTGGGAGGAATGGGGAATGACTGCTAATGGATAAGAGGTTCTTTTGGACAACAAAAATGTTCTAAAATTAGACACTGGTGATGGTAGCACAACTCTGAAAACATACTAAAAACCACTGAATTCTACACTCTAAAAAGGTGATTTTATGGTACATGAATTATATCTCAATAAAGCTGTTATTTAAAAAAAAAAAAAACTTGACATTTTGTGTCTTAAAGGTAGGGTGGTGATCTTTTAGAACTTTTAACTCTCAGAAACACCTCTCTGAAGTTTATGTGCTAATCCCATTTACAAAATGAAGACACAAAAGCTCAAGTACATTAAAATATCTAGCCCAGGGTTTCTCAGCCTCATACAATTGACATGTTTAGCTGCATAATTCTTTGCTGTAGACTGGCCTGTGCACTGGAGGATTTTTAGTAAGATCCCTGGCCTCACCCAAATGGATTCCATTGTATACTTCCTACTTCTCCCTTTAAACCAAAAATCTCCCAAGGTGCAAAACTATTCTCAGTTGAGAATAACTGACGTAGCCTAAGGTTTTGTAGCTACAAGCTACAATTTAGATTTTTAAATTCTAAGTCTTGAGCTCTTTATCCAACACTGGTGCACTTCAAACTGTGTTACCCTTCCCCACCCAGAAATCAACTTAACTCTCAATAATCTATCAGCAGGGGGGGCCTGGGTGGCTCAGTGGGTTAAGCCGCTGCCTTCGGCTCAGGTCATGATCTCAGGGTCCTGGGATCGAGTCCCGCATCGGGCTCTCTGCTCAGCAGAGAGCCTGCTTCCCTCTCTCTCTCTCTGCCTGCCTCTCCGTCTACTTGTGATCTCTCTCTGTCAAATAAATAAATAAGATCTTAAAAAAAAAAAAAAAAAAAAGAATCTATCAGCAAAATTTGTTTTGAACATTGTCTGAAATGCTAATTAAAGAAACCATTTAATTATCTACAAATTACACCCCATAGGTTGAACATGACAGGTCAAAAAGCTGGCAATACAATTAAGGTATGCTAGGCTTTAAAAATCTTTCTTGAACTTTATTTCTGTTTCACTGACAAGTCTTTGTTCCTCAAGCGATTAGAGCTGTCACATTCCGTGCGTAAATATCACCTCTATAAATATCTTATTTGTAAGTGTATTTGGCTGGGAAAATGGAGTTACTTTGAATTACATGGTATTCTGGATACCTGAATCAATACAACTTTCTATCATTTGAGGCCCTGCTACACAGGCAGTTCACTTTTCAATACATCCAATTTCTGGGCACTGTCTTAAACTAAACTACCTCATCCTTAAGGGCACTGTCCTAATAAGAAATCCAGTGATGGAATCTACTTTTTCCTAACGATGTGCTTGTAACTGCTCTTATGTACTCAGAATGAGTGGTGAAAGTAGCACAAAGTCCACCAGGCAATGTTGAATGAAGAGCTTCTCTAAGCTGCTTGTGGGTTTATTATACAGCCACAGAAAAAAAAGGGTTAAAAAGAACTCTTAGTGAGAAAAATGCATTTATAAAACAAAATGTCAGTAGGTAATGATTTTCTTTTCTACCCATGTCAATAGCAAATTTTGACCGCAGCCACATACCTCTAACAAAACTGATCACTAAGCCTGTGTACTTGTTTCACAACATTTGCCATGCTGTTTACCAAAATAAATACAAGTTGTTCCAGTTCTCTACTTATATGATGCTTTCCAAGATACAGTTTAAAAAAAGAATTTAGCTAAGGTCTTGAGGTTGAGGATATTGATATAGAAGAGACCATGAACATACTGCTGAAGTCGTTAACACTAAAGAGAAGTAAAGACAGCCCCTGAACAATGTGGGGGCTTAGAGGCACTGATGAAAATCTGCATATAACTTCTGACTCCCCCAAAACTTAACTACTAATAGGCTACTACTGACTGGAAGCCTTACCAATAACATAAGTTGATTAACACATATTTTCTATGTGTGTTATATACCGTATTCTTATGATAAAGTAAGCTAGACAAAAGAAAATATTAAGAAAATCATAAAGAAGAAAGAATACATTTACATTACTGTAAAAAATCTGGTGCCGGGGTGGCTCAGTCGGTTAAGTGGCTGCTTTCAGCTCCCATCACGATTCTGGGGTCCTGGGATGGAGCTCAATGATGGTGGGCTCCCTGCTCAGCCGGGAGTCTCCTTGTCCTTCTTCCTCTGCCCCTTCACACCCTTGTGTTCTCTCCCTCTCTCTCTCTCAAATAATAATAAATAAAATCTTAAAAAAAAAATCTCCACGTAAGTAGACCTGCACAGGTCAAATACCTGTTGTTCAGGGTCAGGTGTAGTCATTCAATCTTAGTATCAGGAAACAGCATATGACAGATATTTAAAAAGTAGACTTTAACAGAGTCCCAACCCTGACTCTGACAATGATACAGTTTCAATGTATATAATTCACTATCTCTGCACCCCTGGGAAATTAGGAGATGAGACTATATTACTCATATGTATCACTTATTTCCATACTATGACTTTTAAAGACATGACTACCAAAAAAGGAATGAGAAGCAAGAGTGAAGACTGACATCCAAAGATGAAAATGAAAAATAAAGAGAAACAGAAGGGACTAATACAAACACCACACGTCAACTATATTTCAATAAAAAAAAATTTTAAAAAAAGAGAGAAACATGGGGGAAAGGATGTGATGAGAGAAAGACCAAAAAAAAAAAAAAAAAAAAAAAAAGGTAAGTTTAGTACTCCTTTACTAACCTGCTGAATGCAAAGCCTGAACTCTTTCCAGATACTCATTTATTTTTTCTTGAATATGTTCTAGGCTTGATCCTGCCATTTCAGCATAAATTAAGGCTTGTGCAGCTTCCTAAAAAAACAAAAACAAAAACAAAAGGAATCTAATAGATGAATTACGATTTGAATTTTCTCTACCACTTTCTAACTCACTATTGCTGTCTATAAATTACAAAATAAGAACGTCTTTAAGACAGTACTGAGTGGGTTATGTAACCCTCCAACAGCTTTTCTTCAGTTCTCAATATTCTCAATTTTCTCATACTGTTGAAAATGTACAAACTCAAATACAAGAGACTTTCTTAGAACAGCTTTAGCGCACATGAAATTTTCTGCTTTCCCTTTTCTTTATGTAATAGGTCAGACTTAGAATCATATACCTTGAAAATATGAATTGAACCTGAAAAGCACTAAGAACAAGTATATAATAATAATACTCGTTACTATTGGTTAATAATAATAATCAAGAGTCAATTAGTTAATGATAACAAATAAAATAAAATGCCAAAGGAAGATTATATGAAATTATAAAGGTTAGGGTGCCTGGCTGGCTCGGTTAGTACAGTATATGACTCTTGATCGCAAGGTTGTTAAGTCTGAGGCCCACGTTGAGAGTAGAGACTAAAAATAAAGTAGAAAAAATTGTAAAGGTTAAATATCTCACAGCGAGAAGAAAATCTTTTTCTCCACAGAAAATATTGCCAAAGGGTAACACATTTTAAAATAGATTTCAGTTGTATGAAATCAACTTATTTTAATTAAGAAAACCTGAATTCATCATCCAGTTTTTCTAATACTCCCACAGCCAGTTATGCTGTGGCTAGTGAGGAAAGCCTCACTCTCCCCATCACCATTCCAGAATAACAGCTTATCAAATTGCAGCCAGAAGGACCAAAGAGATTTCTCCAAAGTAACACCACCTTCTAAGCAATAACCTAAGCATGAACACTTCACAGAGGCTGATGCCTAACTGGATCCAAAGAAGCCAGCCATCTACTGGATATCCAACCTTTTTGAATCCAGTTGTTAGAGCAGGAGTTGTTTCATGAACTTAACAAAATCAGTAAAGAGTCTGATACTGAATGAAATTAAATGAAAAGCAAATTCATTGAAAGGCTGTGGGAGTAGGAAAGATGATATTCTCAGATTCTGTAACTCAGACATTTCATGGGAGGAAAATATAACTTTACACGTAAACATTAAATATTTTATCTTAAAAAATACTTTATCTTATGTACTATTATCTAAATACTGATAGTGTGTGTGTATATATATATTTTTCACACCTCCATTTACACCTTGCATATAAATACAGACATTTAAATAATTATCTTGCTTTAAAGAAATAAAGCCAACTAAAAAATTGTTGATATCAATTTTATTTTACTCATTTATTTTTGAAAATGACAATTAAGGAATCCCTCATAGAACAGTAATGAAGACCAAAAATGCTAATGATATGGTAAAGTCTATATAAACAGTTCCTAGAAACACAACCACTTTTCTGACTTTCTCAAGGATAAAAAAAATCTTCCTAATGACATGCATGCAATTGCACAGCAAAACAAGAGGCAGTGCCTAGTATTTTCTTTTGCTTTACACAAAGCTATTTTATATGGCACTATTTTAAACTATGAATATTTGTCAGTTATTTCACAAAACTCAATCACATAGAATTTTAAAATACTACCTTCATGAAACCTTCCTCAAAAAGTCCAAAAGAAATGACTCTGAAACACCCAAAAGTCTCTATAGATTATAAAATGAAGGCAACATAATAACAATCTGAGAAAAACAAATCATACATTACCGACAGCATATACGTTTATGTAAACAACAACAACAACAAAACACCCCACTCTGCTATTATCAAAGCCGGACTTTCCTTCTTAAAAAAAAAAAAAGGAGGTGGGGGGAAAATATCACGAGGATACAGCTACCTCCACCAGGAAGCAACGGACATAGTTCGAGCTGGAGGGGTTTATTTGCAAATCCGCAGGACTGGCGAGCAGAGGAGACTGTGGAAGATCAAATTCTTTAATAATTCCGCCCCCAATAACTTAGTCAAAAGAAACAGCCAAGAAATGTGAAAAGCATTAGTTATAAATATATTAATCGGATCAGTACCTACGATGCTGAAAAATCAGAATGAACCCGATGCCCATTAATTTGTAAATTATGGTGCATTCACGTAATGGAAGTACTGCGCATCTGTTTGTAAGAGTAAATTAAGCAAAAAAAAAAAAAAAAAAAAAGTAAATTAAGCAACTTCAGTGAGTTTTTAAAAGCTCAAATACAAAGAAAAGGTTAAAAATCGTATAAACGGTACAATCCAAGTTTGTCTTACGTATAGAGAAGTTGAATCACTATGCTGTTCCCTCGAAACTAATGTACTATTCTGTGTCAACTATGCTCAAATTTTTTCAAAGCTGCGTATGTAAATACGCTTAGAAAAACAAGCACCGCTGTATTAAATTCCAAGAGACGTGTTATTTTTTTCCTAAACCTTTTTTTCAGCGAACGTGCATTTTTTTAGTGTGTATCAGAACCACTTCGTACTAGCCATAAATCAGAGCCAAATGACCGCGAGAATTAGCCACTTAACTACTCATACCTAACTACTGCTGTCCTAAGTAGCTCAGCGGTGGACATTTGCTATTCAAGACTGTAACCAGAGAAGTGGTGGCTCCCAAGCCGCGACCAAACCTCCCCACCGTTGCAGGAGCCGGGTCGCCTCTCCCCTGAAAAGAGCAGCAGAACAGGAAGGAGGAAAAGCAAAGCCCAGAAGGCCCGGCCGCAGCCGCACCTGGACCCGCCCCCTGGCCTCTCCGACAGCGCAGCAGTCCTCCGCCCTACCTTGTAGTAAAACACCGCCTCGGAGTAGCGACCTTCTTGGTCGCGCTGCACCGCCAGCCGGGCGAACTGCACGGCGTCCCGCTCCAGCGCCGTAGCGTCCATGGCGTCGAGTGCCCGCGCCGGCGGAGGGAAGAAAGGAAGGCCTGACGCACGAAGGCTCTTCACCGACTGCGGCACCGCCGGGAGGCGGATCCGAGAACGCCGCGAAAAGAGCAGCAAAGTTTATTTTCGGTGGCTGAGGGAAGAAAGCGGGGCTTCTCGGCCAGGGCCCGCCGCAGCGTCGCGCCTCCACAGCGCCGCTCCGGCTCCTGGCCTGTGGGCCCGCCCCCCATCCCGGCAACCGCATTCCCCCGCCCCGCCCCGCCCACCGGCTCCACTGCGCAGTCGCAGCCTGCTCATCGTGCGTTTCTCGGGAGATGGGGCGGCAAAGGCGGGCTGGTTGGGAGTAAGAGAGTGATGGGAGGGGCCTAGCCTGCCGGGTGCCGGCGCGCACGTGATCTCCATGACTCCTGGGATTGGGTAGGCGAAAGCAGAGTCACGTCCGGGCTGCCGATCTCTCCGCGGTTTGCGCGGATGTGGCAAAGCCGTCGGCAGGGCTGTGTCTCCCAACTCCTGACGGAGGCGGCGCATGCGCCTTGCGGAGCCGTTGATTCTGCTGTATTTAAAGGGAAGGTATAAAGCGCCGAAGAATAACACTTTTCATCTGGACTGACTTTGAGAAGTAGGGACGTAAAATAAGGACGTAAGATTCTTTCACGATACCCTTAAATAACATTTGTTTCCCACAAATTAGATCGTAACCTATATACCCCTGCCCCCCAGTGTATGGTATTAGTTGAATTGTCAACAAACAAGGTAATATATTTTCACTTGTACTTATCCTTTGGTTAACTTAATGCTATTGTAATTAACCATTTAATTAGGTGATTGTTTAATATCTTTTCCCCTTAAAACTCTGAATTCAGCAATAATAAAAATGAACTAGTGATAGGCTCCACAATATGGCTGAAAGTCAAAATTGAATCATGAGACCTCAAAGCAGAAAGACACAGAGTACATACTGCATAATTCTGTTTATAAGAAACACTGTCAAAGACAAATCTAATCAGTAATGTTGGAGATCAGATCAATGGTTGAGGAGGGATACAAGGGAAACTTTTGGGGTAATAGAAATGTTTTATGTCTTGGTGATGATGCCAAAATATATACATTTGTGGAAACCCATTAAATTCTACGTTTTTAAAAGATTTTTATTTTTATTGAATTTTATAAAGATTTTTAAAAAAATTTGAGAGAGAGGGATGTGAGGGGGAAGAGCACAGGGTTGGAGTGAGCAGGAGGGGGAAGAATCTCAAGCAGATTCCCTGCTAAGCTGGGAGGCAGAGCTTGATCTCACACAGCGCCCCCGCCCCCCCGTCATGACTTCCCAGAAAGCAAGAGTCAGTGACCCAACTGACCAGCTTTCCAGGTGCCCCAAACTCTACATTTTAAATTAGTGATTTAATTTTTTCTTAATGGTACCTTAAAAATTTTTATTTTAGTCATGGTCTGTATTTATTTATTCATTTATTTATTTATTTTTAAAGATTTTATTTATTTATTTATTTATTTATTTGACAGAGAGATGGAGAGAGCACAAGCAGGCAGAGCAGCAGAGGGAGAGGGAGAAGCAGGCTCCCCACTGAGCAGGGAGCCCAACTTGGGGCTCTATCCCAGGAACCTGGGATCATGACCCCAGCCCAAGGCAGTTGCCCAACCAGCTGAGCCACCCAGGCACCCCCATGGTCTGTATTTAAATGGGAGTCTCATTTCTTAGTTTCTTTAACCCGTCACATTTAGTGAAATTAATAACAACTGTCTAACTGAACTGTTATAAAAAACAAACAAACACAAGAATCTGACTTTGTGCCTGGTACAAAGATAGTTCTCATCAATAGCTATGACAGTTTTATAAGGGAAGCAGGGATGGTTTCTGTCTTTACCAGTGTTATGCTAGTATTGAATTCGAGCCTTGGTCCAGAGCAGGTGTTCAGTATTTTAAAACATGAATGAGGGAACTCTCCTACTAAATATATACAATATGCCCTCTGCCATCTCCATTCTGAAGAATGAGATACAAATTCCTTAACACAGATTAGAAGGTCCTTCAGAAGATAAACTGAGGCCATATTCCCAAAGCATTTATGGTCACTCTATCCCACAAACTGACCACAAGCTAGCACAGACAAATGCAGTTTAACTTCTATGTCTGATGTTCTTCCTTTCATTACAGCTTATGGAATTCCTAGTCCATCTTGAAGGAAGCCTTTTCTAGCACTTACCTAGTTCTGATAGCTTCCCACACTTATTCATTTATTCCCTATACATTTAATCCTATTCCTTATTCTTTTATTCAATGACACTGGACACCTATTTGGTGCGAGGCACAGAGCTACACATTGAAGACACAAAGACAAGAGAGAGTGAGATAAGGCAGGGTAAAAGGAAGTTGAAGCTTCAAAACATCTGCAGTCTCAACAAAATGGAGTTTTATGGAGTTTTCTAACGCATGAACACAGTAAATGTCTTCATGTGCTCCAGTCTTCTTTATCTCAGTAGTGTTGCAGAGTGCACAGATCTTGCACATCATTGAATACATTTATCCCTAAGCATTTCATATTTTTATACTACTCTAAACTCCACTGTCTAGTTACAATTTTTTTATAATATATAAGAATAAAATTGGTATTTATATATTGACCTTGGATTGGGTAATCACCAATTATCCAGAAAATCCTTTTTGTTTGTTTTTATTATATTTTACTTTTAAATAGTAATTTAATTAATTAACATATAATGTATTATTCATTTCAGAGGTATAAGTCTGTGATTCATCAGCCTTATATAATATCCAGTGCTTATTACATCACACGCCTGCCTTAATGTCCATCAATAAATTACCCTATGCCCCCACTCTTCTCCGCTCCAGCAACCCTCAGTTTGTTTCCTATGATTAAGAGTTTCTTATGGTTTATCTCTCTCTCTGGTTTTGTTTTGTTTTATTTTTTCTCCTCTTCTCCTATGATCCTCTGTTTTGTTTCTTAAATTCCACATATCAATGAGATCATAAGATAAATTATCTTTCTCTGATTGACTTATTTCAGTTAGCAGAATACCCTCTAGTTCCATGCATGTTGTTGCAAATGGCAAGATTTCTCTTTTTCATGGCTGCATAATATTCCTGTGTGTGTGTGTGCGTGTGCGTGCGTGCGTGCTCGTGTCTGTGTGTGTGTGTGTGTGTGTGTGTGTGTGTACCACATCTTTATCCATTCATCTGTTGATGGACATATGGGCTCTTTCCAAAGTATGGCTATTGCGGACATTGCTGCTATAAACATTGGGGAGCAGGTCCTCCTTTGCATCACTATTTTTGTATCCTTTGAGTAAATACCTAGTAGTGCAATTGCTGGGTCATAGGGTAGCTCTATTTTTAACTTTTTGAAGAAACTCCATACTGTTTTCCAGAGTGGCTGTACCAGCTTGCATTCCTAACAGCAGTGTAAAAGTGTTCCCCTTCTTCCACACCAACATTTGTTGTTTCTCAACTTGTTAATTTTAGCCATTCTGACTGGTATGAGGTGGTATCTCATTGTGGTTTCGATTGTATTTCTCTGATGCCAAGTGATGTTTTCATTTTTTTTCATTTCATTTTCATTTTCATTTTGCCGAGTGATTTTTTTTCATGTGTCTGTTGGCCATTTGGATGTTTTCTTTACAGAAATGTCTGTTTATGTCTTCTGACCATTTCTTGATTGGATATTTGTTCTTTGGGTGTTGAGGTTGATAAGTTCTTTATAGATTTTGAATATTAGCCTTTATCTAATATGTTATTGAAAATATCTTCTCCCATTCTGTGAGTTGCCGTTTAGTTTTGTGGACTGTTTCCTTTGCTGTAGAAAAGCTTTTTATCTTGATGAATTTCCAATAGTTCATTTTTATTTTTGTTTCTTTGCTTTTGGAGATGTGAGTAGCAAGAAATTGTTGTGGCCAAGGTCAAAGAGTTTGTGCCTGTGTTCTCCTCTAGGATTTTGATGGATTCCTGTCTCACATTGAGGTCTTTCATCAATTTGGAGTCTATTTTTGTGTATGATATAGAGAAATGGTCCAGCTTCATTCTTCTGCATGTTTCTGTCCAATTTCCCCAATAGCATTTGTTGAAGAGACTATCTTTTTTCCATTGGATATTCTTTTCTGCTTTGTCAAAGATTAATTGACCATGGAGTTAAGGATCCATTTCTGGGTTTTCCATTCTGTTCCATTGATCAATGTGTCTGTTTTTGTATTAATACCATACTGTCTTGATGATTACATCTTTGTAATAGAGCTTGAAGTCTGGAATTCTGATGCCACCAGTTTTTGTTTCCTTTTTCAACATTCCTCTGGCTACTCAGAGTCTTTTCTGGTTCCATACAAATTTTAGGATTATTTTTTCCAGCTCTGTGGAAAAAGCTGATGGTATTTTGATAGGGATTGCATTGAATGTGTAGATTGCTCTAGGTAGCATAGACATTTTCACAGTGTTTGTTCTTTCAGTCCATGAGCATGGAACATTTTTTCTGTTTCCTTGTGTTCTTCCTCAATTTCTTTCATGAGTGTTCTATAGTTTTCTGAGTGTAGATCCTTTGCCTCTTAGGTGGCTTTATTCCTAGGTATCTTATGGTTTTGGGTACAATTGTAAATGGGATTGACTTCTTACTTTCTCTTTCTTCTGTCTTGTTATTTGTGTATAGAAATGCAACTGATTTCTGTGCATTAATTTTATGTACTGCCACTTTGCTGAATTCCTGTATATGTTCTAGCAATTTGGGGGTGGAGTCTTTTGGGTTTTCCACATAGAGTATTATGTCTGCAAAGAGTGAGAGTTTGACTTCTTTGCCAATTAGGATGCCTTTTACTTGTTTTTGTTATCTGATTGCTGAGGCTAGGATTTCTAGTACCATGTTGAACAGCAGTGGTGATGGTGGACATCCCTGCTGTGTTCCTGATCTTAGGGGAGAAACTCTCAGTTTTTCCCCACTGAGAATGATATTGTTAGATCTTCTTGTTGGGTAGATCCTTTAATTATGATACAGTGTCCTTTCTCATCTCTTATTACAGTTTTTGGTTATTTTGGTTTAAAATCTAATTTGTCTCATATAAGGATTGGCACTTGAACTTTCTTTTGATGTCCATTAGCATGGTAAATTATTTTCCACCCCCTCACTTTCAATCTGGAGTTGTCTTTGGGTCTAAAATGAGTCTC